AAAAAAATGACCTGGGGGAGGGAAGGAAGAAGAAGAGAGCTCGCTCACCCCACCAGCGCTCGGAGAGAGACAACTGTTAAGGTTCCTGCTGCAGAAGGACGCCCAGCCTTGATTCACTGCCTCTTGTTCTGCTTTTATTGGGCTAAACGTGGCAGTGAGGGGGTTTTGTGGTCGATAGAGGACTGGAGACACCACAGGGAGCATCTTTAGCTGCCCTTCTGTCTATAACCCGCTGTGGATTTGGTGATGGTTGGAGGAGATGGAGTTTCTCCTTCCTCCCTCTGGCTGGAAAGCCGGGGTGGTGAAGCTGCACCCTCACCTTCCCCAGCAAACCACGGCCAGCCCAGGGAGACCTCTTTTGTGCTGCCCCTCCTTACCTTCATCACGGTGTTGTAGGCGGAGATGAAGGTGGTGAACAGGTCCAGGTAGCGGGTTGTGAAGACCAGGGCGAAAAGGATCTGGCTCTTCCCAGAGATACCTGAATGGCAGGGGACAAGCGGGCAGGCAGGTGAGAGGAAAACGAATTTGGGTGCAGGTTTGGCCTCGTGCCTTCGTTGTGAGCAGCCGTGTACTCACAGCGGCCGGCCTCGCCACCAAGAAAAAACCCTTTCCCTTCCCTGCCTGGCTCCCTCCACGCTCCTGCCCGCCCCGCCGTGGGTTTGTGTGCTGTGCCACCTGCCTCACCGGGGGATTGCTGTGGGATGGGTGCTGCTGAGTCACTGCGGCTCCCAACCCCGAACCCAATCTGCCTGCGGGAAGCAACCTCTCCCCATCCCTTGCCCGAGCAGCCTCGGGAGCCTGCCTGCCTTTTTTGGCAGGGCCTCCAGCCTGGAGCAGTTTTTCCCTGGAGGTGATTGCTTTTGGTGCCACCACAACTTCTCCAAACACCTGCGTGGTGGTGGCGTGCCATGCCACATCACATCCTTCCAGCACCTCCTGCTCCCTCCTGGCGGGGAAACCGCCCCGTGCCGGGCTGGTGGAGGCTCCTGCAAGCCGCAGCAAAGCCCCAAGGCTGGGGCTTGGCAAAAAACCCACCCAGGGAAAAAAAAAAACCCTTCCCTAGCACTCACCGGCGCAGGACTTGGACCTGTGGATCTTCAGCAGGAGGATGATGATGGCCAGCAAGTGGGAGATGTCCCCCAGGATGCGGAAGACGTTCATGGTGGCTCAGGCCCCTTTGGCGCTGGTGGGCGAGGGCGGCCCTAAAACCCCGCGGGGAGCTTTATCCTCGGCCAAACTCTCGCTCACGTCCCGCTGAACTTTCCTCCTCCTCCTCCTCCCGCAGCCTGCAGCTCTCTTCTTCTGGCGGAGGAAAGCTCAGCCCCTCTTCCAAGCACTTCTCCCCCTGCCCTCCAGGCCGGGCGTCCCCCTGCCTTGACGTCCCCACTGTGGGGATTTTTTTCCTTTCCCAAACCTTCAGGGCCTGGGCAAAAAGTTGAGTTTTGTCCCGTCGGCCGGGCCGGGCTGTGCTGAGCAGCCCCAAAGCCAGCGCTGGGTGACGTGGCTCCCGGCTGGCCGGGGAGGAGGCAAAGGAGGAGGCGGAGGCGGGAATAACTGCGCTATTTTTCCCTTTTCCTTTTTTTTTTTTTTTTTTTCTTCCTCCCCTTCCTCTCTTTTCCCCTACTTGTCTCAAGTTACACGTGGAAGCGTCCTTAAAGGAGCAAAGGCAGAGGGAACGAGGGAATGCCGCTCATCAGGCTGCTGCGACCTCGTGTCCCGGTGGGGCAGCGGGAATCAAGATTACCATCTTTAGCAGCAGGGGATTGAGAAGAGACCTTCACCGAGTCCAAACGCACCCAAAAGCTCAGCTGGACCAACCCTGAGCCAAACCCCGTTCATTTTGGGGTGCCGAGAGGTGCAGGAGAGGCTGTGCCCAGCCTTCGCCCCCAGGCGCTTGGCTCAGGTCTCCGTCCCTTCCAGGCACATCGCCCGGAGCAGCGTCCCTACTGATTAAAGACTACAAATATTATTCCCGGTGCTTACTAACAAGGCTATTAGCATCGCCGGCTTCCTTTCTGAATGCATTTGCATACATTTCCTCCCTGCCCATCGCGCTGCCTGGGGGTTTTCCCTCCCCGCCGCTGCAGCACCTGCCGTGCCGGGCTCCTCCAGCCGCGCGTGCAGGTTGGGCTGGGAAACACCCGCCGAGAAACGAGGGCTGCTGCCCACGAGGGAACCGAAGCAGGGGTGTGCAGAGCGGGGTGGAGGATTTAGGGGTTTAGGATCCCCTCCCAGCCCTTGGAGAACAACGTCTGACAACCCTCGTCATCCTCTGGTGCTTTGCTTGTTGACCCATCCCGGGGGTGAAGCCGATCCCCCTCGGTGGAGGGCCATCAGTAGGAGTTTTGCAGGTGGTGGAAGGTCATTCCCATCACCTCGTGCCCTCCCCAGCCCTAACAAGAGCCGACCTCCAGCGGCGGCACCGGGATGTGATGGGCGAGGTGACCACGGGGACTTCACGGGAAGGCCACCAGCAGCTCGGCGAGGGGCGCTTCGAGAAGGAAAATCTGGCGCACCAAGTGGGAGCAAGCAAAAAATAAACCCTCCCTCCTCCTCCCTCCCGGCCGCCACACGAAGCACCTCGCACCCAGTGTCTCCCTGCCTCCCGAAATACCGCCGGGCGCTGCCCCCACCCCGCGGTGATGCTCTCTCCATGCCTCCCGTCTCCATGGCGACTGCAAGGAATGTCGCCAGGGTGACAGGGAGGAGAGCGAGCTGGGATTTGGCATTAAAAACGGGAATTTGGGGTTGTTGGGTTTCTTTTTTTTTTTTTTTTTTATTCCCCTTTAGTTCTATTTTTGGGTTTCCCTCTCTGCCTGTGCTGCTTTGAGAGGTTGGCTCAAGCAGGGGCCAGGTGGCAGCAGCTCCGTCGAGGGTCCCCTCCCAACCCTGCCCGTCCTGCAAGGCGATGGCACCGAGGAGAGGGGACGCATGGGGTGGGGTGGAGGGGGTGGTAGGGGAGCCTGGTGGGTGCTGAGTGAGGAGTCCAGCGCTGTGCTGGCTGCTTAATTACTTGCAGTCAGGTCTGCCCGGGGCAGGGAGGGCTCAAGGGCTTGCGTTGGCTTTGGGTGGTGTGGCAGGAAAGCCCTTCCCTTCCCTTCCCTTCCCTTCCCTTCCCTTCCCTTCCCTTCCCTTCCCTTCCCTTCCCTTCCCTTCCCTTCCCTTCCCTTCCCTTCCCTTCCCTTCCCTTCCCTTCCCTTCCCTTCCCTTCCCTTCCCTTCCCTTCCCTTCCCTTCCCTTCCCTTCCCTTCCCTTCCCTTCCCTTCCCTTCCCTTCCCTTCCCTTCCCTTCCCTTCCCTTCCCTTCCCTTCCCTTCCCTTCCCTTCCCTTCCCTTCCCATCCATCCATCCATCCTCTTCTCCATCCATCCATCCATCCATCCATCCACCCCTTTCCTCCCCTCCTCCATCCACACCTTCATCCTTCCATTCATCCCTCCACCTCTCCATCCCCTTCTCCCTCCGTCCATCCCTTCCATCCCTCCCTCCCTCCTCCCCACCTCCCACCCCTCCATCCCGCGCTGCCCCCCTGCCTCCCCCACCCCACAGCAGCACCGGGAAGGGTTGGCGGAGGGGGGGGGGGGGGGCTATTTTTGGGACCGTCTCCCTGGCAACGGCTGCCACCACCGTCTGTGGTGGCTTTTCCATAGGTGCTAAAATATTCCACGCTGCTTATTAAAGACGGTGCCGGTGGAGACGGGCGGGGGTGGCGAGTGAGAGCCACGCCGGGGCCGGTGGGCTTGGGGTGGCCGTGGCACCGGGGCTGGTGGCATCCCCGGCGTGACATCCCCACGGCCAGCCCCGTGGCCACGCTGGCTGTGCCTTGGCCACGCCACGTCTTGGTGGCAGCTATTCCCCCAGGTGGAGGGAAGCGCCACGGCGGCGTGTTTCTCCCCGTTTTCACCCCAAAAAGACCAGGGTGGGGTTGTGGGGTGAGCCGAGGGGCTGCAGGTGCCAGGTGGCTTCACCTCTTGGGGCGCAGCCAGCGCTGGGGACAGCGGGAGGCTGTGGGGCAGCCCTTGGGACGAGCCCTGGCCCCTTGTGGGGATGGAGAACGACCCCCTGGGTGGGTCCCCTTGGGGACGGGGAGGTTGGGGACAGGGGGGGCAGCCAGCCCCGCGCGGCGGGCCCAGCGGAGAGGAGCTGGCTGTCTGCAGGGTGCTGGCTGCGCTCCCCGCTCGCAGCTGCGGATCGGCGCCGAGAGGTGCTAAAAATACCCTCTGCTCCTCCCGGGGCTGCTTTCCCAGGTACCACGCTCCAAAATGCACCAGGGGGGTGCCGGCGGGGTCCCACGTGCCGCGGGGTGATTTTGGGAGCTGGGGGGGGCACGGCCTCTAAAGGAGATGCTGGAGCAGCGGGGTTTGGTCTTTCCCGTCCCCTCCAGGTGTTGTTCCAGCAGGGATTTGGAGCTGGAGAGCGAGCTGAGGCCTCCCAGCCCCTGCAGGGCAGCGTGCTGCCCTCCTGGCCCTCGTCCTCCTGCTTGTCCCCACCGGGTGACCTCTCGGAAGCCCTTGAGGTCCTGCAGGCAGCAGGGACCCCCGGGGAGCTCCCTGGCACAGATCCCCCAAGCTCGGCACCTGCTGGGGACTCGGGTCCCTGCTCAGAGCGAGGTCCCAGCTCAGCACCAGGGCTCTGGATGGAGAAATCTCCCCGTCCACGGGGACGGCAGCCCCTCGCCATGGCCTGGCGGCAGGGTTTGGGGCTTTCCTTCCCCGGGGGGCACCCACCGTCCCCGTGCCGCTGCCGCTGGTTGCGCTCTGGTCTCCCCCATGGCAGCCCCGCAGCGCGTCTCCATGGCTCTGAGCTCACACGCGAGGATGGGCTAAAGTAGCGGAAAGCTGTTGGAGCCTACCACGGAGTTACTGACTTCTTAGCTACAGCCTGCATAGCAATCAGAGAGGGGGAGAGGCAGCCAGGGAAAGGGAGCAGCAGCACCGAGCGGGGAGGACGGGGGAACGGGAGAGGCGGCGCGGAAATTTGGGGGGGAGAGAGCAGGGGAGCAGCGGAGGCGCAGGGGGAGAGGAGAAGGGCAGGAGGGGAAGGGGCAGGAGGGGGCAGAGCAGAACTCGTCGCCGAGCTGCCAGCGCACCAGAGCTCGTGGGATGGACGCTCCCGAGGGCAAAGCACGCTGAGGAGAGGCAGAGGCAGGAGGAGAGGAGCGGGGCACGGCAAGCGAGGGGCTCCTCGGGAAAGGAAACAGCCCGAAGGCGAGAGGGGGCTGAAGAGAAACACACCGGGTTCCTCCGTCCAGGCGAGCTGAGGCGTTTCGTGGGGAGATGGAGGCACCGGCTGCCCTCCCCGTCCTCTGATGCTGGCTCCCCACGGCTCGAGCAGGCGGCCCCCGGCGGGATGCGGGTAAGAGACGGTGCCGGGGAGCGCGGCACCCGGTGCCGGCACGACAACGGGAAGGTTTTTTTTTTTTTCCTGCGAAAATCCTGCCTCGTTTCATCCGCGCTAGCTCTGAGGAACGGCTATAAATATAACTTAGCGAGATGTGCGTGGCTTCATGCGAGTGTGCCGGGGAATAACAAAGTTGCCTGTGTGCACGGCAGATGTGAATGCGGCTACCGAAGCGTGCCGGGGCAGAGGGCAGGAGCGCGCACCTCTTCGCCAGCCTCCCCAACTTTCCTCCTCTCACCTCGCCGCCTGCACCTCCCTCGCTTTGCAGGTAACCCGCTCGTGTTTGCAGCTCCCGCTGCTTGCTTAGCTCCTGCTTGCCTCGGGCTGGCTCCTGCTCGCCTTTTATTTCCCCTGCTCCGAGGGCCAGCCTGCACCATCGCATCCGCCCGCGTGCGCCGGTCCGGGCTCCATCCCTCAGCCCGGAGAAGTACGACAGCACTGGGAAGGTGTTCTCCAAAAAATGGGGTGCAGATGGGGTTGAAGCGGACGTGTGGGCTCTCCAGCTGTGCACCGAGCTTTTGGGGCTTCAGACCTGACCCTTGAAGCTTTTAGAGTCCCAGCTTGGCCGGGGGTGGCCCAGCACCTCCCAGACAAGCCCTGTGCACAGGGCCTTCTGGATGCAGGTTTTGGGTGAAGGAGCTCGGGGAAGCCACGAGCAAAATGCCAGAGAAACCCCACGGGTGTGGGGTCGGCGGGCAGGTTTGCGTGGCACGGGGGGGTCACCAGGTGCCACCTTCACCCCCTGATGTCCCCCCTCCTCCAGGAGCTTGCAGTCTCCTGTCTCCACCACCCAGCCTTGGCTTCCTCCATGGCAAAGCTCTGGGGCCTCTTCCTTCTCCCATTCCTTCCTTCTCCCATTCCTCCCCTCTCCCATTTCTCCCCTCCGTGGTTGTCCACGGTGTCGGATGCCTGGAGGAGCTGCTGGGCGTGAGGATGGCCCTACACGTGGCTCCATCAGCTTGGGGTCACCGGGAGCCTGGAGGGGCCGGGGAGGCGCACAGGGAGGGAGCATGGCTCCATGAAGATTTGGGGACGTGCCCCTCTCCATTTGCCATCGGAAGCGATGCCTGAGTCACCCCAGCACGTGGCCACCCCTGGTCGTGGCTGCCAACAACAACAAGAATTACACTGAGGCTAGCTGGGATTTGGGATTGGAGGTGGAAATGGGAGCCTGGCGGGGATGGCGAGGGGTGGCAACCAAGGGGATGAACGGGAGAGGGTCACAGCCTTCCCCTTCTCCCTCCATTCCCCCTCCTTGGCCAGGGAAGCCAGGGTCCCCCCAGAAATTTGGCTTCTTGGGACCCCGGTGCTCACCCAAAACGTCCCCGGGGTGGCATTGGGTGGTGGCGGGACGGGGGGGGACGCGGTGACGGCCACGGGGCCCTGGCTGACATCAGCGCTGATGCGGGCGCGGGGCGCTTAATTGCAATCCGCCGTCAGCCAGTTCCCACTTTCCTGGGTCGCTGCCTTAGCGCATCGCGCTCGCTTAACCCGACGGCGGCCGGGGATCGATCGCTGGCCGCGTGGCGTCCTCATCGATCCCCTGCCCCCAAACGCGCCGTCCCCCTGCTCCCGCTCGCTCCGTGCGGGATCCCAAAGGCGCTGCGCTTCGACGAGGGGTGTCGGGGGCACTGGTTTTGCTCCCAGGCCCTTCAATTTTTGCCTGTTTTTGGCAGAAGTGCCGGTCCCCACGCCAGTCGGGGGTCCTCCTTGCCTGCCCCAGCCGTCCGTCCCGTTGCTTTATTTCTATGGCAACATTTCTCCCGAAAAGCTCCAGCGGGAGCCTGGCGCCGTGTGACAACGAGGGAGGCGGCGCCCCCCACGCTGTCCCCTGCCAAAAACACCGAGAAAAGACCCCGGCCCCTCTCCTCGGCCAGCCCCGAAGCAACGAGCATCCCGGCCTGCATCACCCCTTGATTTGAGGAATTGCTGGAAAAGGGAATTATGGCAAAATAAAAGAAAAAGGAGCTTCAATATTTACTTCAAGGCAGAGTGGGGGAAAGCAGTGCCACGGCCACGCAAGTGCCGGGAGGCCGTGGGGATGCCAGAGGCTGGCGGTGGCACTGAGGACGGGCTGGGGAAAGCCCGGCGGTGCTGTGGGGACACAGGAACCCATCAAGATCCCATAACAAGGGGGTCGGGAGCCCTGCAGCTACGAGGAGAGCGAGTGCCCATCCCCGGCGCCTCCTGTTTGAGCCAGGGCTGGGTGTAGGAGCAGGCTTTGCCCCTGCGGGGAGGTGACAGGCTTTTGGTGCTCTCCAAGCCCTCGTCCCTGGTGCTGGAGGGCCAGGGGCCAGGGGACGAGTGCCACGGGTGGGAGCAGGGGCCAGGGGAGGGGACGCTGCAACCTCTGCTGCCGGCTGTGTCATGCCGGGGACCTTTGCGCCTAGCCCATTTTTATCTGTGTTTTCTCCCTTTCTCTGCCTCTTTCTCCTCTCCCCCTCCCGTCGGTATGTGGGCTGATCACTGCTCAAACTTTTAATTCAGATGGTAATTGGAATAATAATACGGGCAGAATCCTTCTGGCTCTGTTGCTGCAGCTGGCTTCGGAGAGCTATGAATAGCTCTGAGTCACACACTGAGATGGTTTAACTTCAAATCATTTTGTTTTGTTTTCATATTACCCATGCCCAGGCTCCAGGGCTTCGCAGGGGGGAAAAATCCCCTCTCTCACTCCACCCCAAAACACAACCCCGGGCAGAGGCACGTCCACCAAACCCTCCTGGGGACAGCAGGTCGCGCCGAGGAGCTGGTCAGCTCGCCGTGCCTCGCGGGGCAGATGGGGACTGCTGGCACCAACTTGATCTATTTATAATTATTGAAGGAAAAGGCAGCAGTGTGTATGTAAAAATGGCACGGAGCTGCTTCCAGCATCCTCCCCTCACCTGCCCTACGCCTCTTGCCTCTTGCTCTCCCTCACGGTGGCCACGTCGGGGAGGAGTGGGGCCAAGGAGGACTTGCAGAGCGCAGGCAGCACATCCCCGCGGCCCTTCCAGCGTTGCCATCGACCCCGTGAGGGTTTGGGAGGATCGGGAGCTCCCTGGATGGAGCCACAAAGGGGATGGAGAGGAAAAAATGGAAGCGGCCACGGGTCTGCTGGGCTCTGCCCAAGGCCTGGGTCCCGATCCCCAAAGGGAGCAGCAGGTGAAGGGGAGGAAAGGCAGGAGGCAGCGGCCACCGTCGGGGAGGCCGTGACCACAGACGGGGAGGAAGCGTTCGCCAGACGGCTCCAGATAAAGCGAAGCGTAAAAATACCATGGGATTTTTCCATCGCCGGCGTTGCTCGCAGCCTGCGTCCTGGAGCGCCAGATACGGCTGTTATAAAAAGAGAAGTGGGGGAGTGCTTCGGCGTGGACCTGTCTGTTCTGCCTCACCAGGCTGCTCCGCCGCGGGGCTGAGGGAAGATTGACGAATGTGAGCCGCTCTGGCAGGGGATGGAGGAGACCTGGGACGAGCGAGGAAACGCACCAGGAGCACGGGATCAAGCGATGGAGGCGTCGTGTTGGTGCCGTGCGTGCTGCCGGTGCCGTCAGCCTCCAGATCCCTCGGAAAGGGGCAGTGACAGGCACCGTGGACCAGGATGGAGTGCTCAGGGCCTGGCGCAATGGCTTGTGCCAATAAAGCAAAGAGCATGGCACAGCCGTGGTGCTCCCAGCATCGCCAGGTGGATGGCACAGGAGATGGGGAGCAGCTGGGAAGGAGGGCAGGGCTGCAGGGAGGGATGAGAGCAGGTCTGCTGGCCCTGCTCTCCAACCCCCCGGCTGCAGGGGCTGCCACTGCCCCCACGCTGTGCCCACCGAGGGTTCCCCAGGAATCACCACCAACCCCTCAGTTTGCCCCATCTCCACGTGGGTCCCTGGAGGCAGGACCAGCTCCCTGGGCACAGTTCCCATGGGGATGGGGATTTGCAGCTCTGCCCTCGGCCAGACTTTCCTCCCCTGGTCTGTACAACCAGCACTGCATAACTGAGGCCATGAACATCACCCCCTTTTGCTGGGAACATCCTCGAGCTCCCTCCCACTTCATCCCACTCACGTTTTAGGTCTCAGGGGATGAACGGGCCCCCTCGGTGTCCCCTTGGCGTGGACGGCGGGGAGGATACTGATGAGCACGGGGTGATCTGTTGGCATGACCCCTGACCTTGGGGAGCCCACTGCGCAGGCAGGGCCGTCCCAGCCTCCCAGGCACACGGGGCTGGGAGCGGTGAGCGGGTTTCTTTCCACCCCTCCGTCTCCTGGCTCGTGCGGCGGCGAGGCTGTGGCCGGCCGGCAGTGCGAGCGGTCCCTCTGCCAGCTGGCAGCAGGGGACGGAGCGGGGCGGCAGCAGCGCAGCGCGGACCCGTCTGCGGCCAGCCCGCGGGGCCGATGCCCTGCCCAAAGCGCTGCTGCCGCTCCGCTCGGCTGCCGGCAGCCAGGCTCGGCTCCTCCTGCCTCGCAGGAGGCAGCAAGGGCGGCCTCGGGGGTCCCAGCCACCCACCGGTGACCGAGGTAGGTGCTCGAGGGGCTGTCCAGAGGGGACGGTGGCGGTATCCCCACGCAGCGGGCTGAGGCCGCCGGTGGGGTGGACTTTACGTGGCTCGGCGATTGCCAGGTTGCTGACGGAGTGAAGCAGGTGCCTGGCTTTATAACAGCCCGATTCGTGCTCTGTCCCTGCCCTCCATCCTCTCCCCGCATCAGCCTCCGTGCCCCCTGACTGCGGCTTTGCGCGGCACGCTCCTGCTTCGCCAGCCCTGTCCCCTTCCCCTGCCTGGTGCCAGCGCTGGCAGCGATGCTCCAGCAGCCTGCTCTTGCTGCCAGCGATGTCTCCAGCCCCGCGCTGCCTGCCCAGGGCCACCGATCCCTCTCCCCGTGCAGCACGAGAGGTTTCGGGTCGCTTTGCTTGCCAGCTCCTCTCCACCCACCGACAGCATCCCCGGGCTGGGTGGGCTCTGCGGGACCCCGCTGCCAAAAAAAAGCCCTGGTACAGCTCCTGGGTCCCTCACTTCTTCATCGTGATGGCACAGCGGGCATGGAAGCTGCACGGTGACATCACAGACTGGGGTGGTTCCTGGGCACCCCCCTTAGAAGAGACAGAGATGCCCGGTTCTCCCCTCCCTGCCGCCTCCTGCTCCCCACTGCGCGCACCCCAGCACCCTGCTGGTTTGAATGGAGGGGCCCCAGTGACCGCCTGGTCCCCCGCCAGTGTCACCGAGGCTGCAGAGGTTGGCACGGGGCAGGTGCCACCCGCCTGCGGGACCGGGGCTCGGGGCGGTTCGGATCCACCCGTTCCCTGCAGCCCTGAAGATGTCGCGGCCGCTTGGCGTCTCCGGGGCGATGGAGAGGGCCTGCCCGGAGCCTCAAGACCTGGAGGATGACGATGATGATGACAACGAGGACAACGACTGATTACAGGTACGCCTGCCACTCCGTGCATCCTCCGCCCCAGTGCAAGGGCCGCGACAACTCTGGTGACAGTCAGCTGGAGGATCCGGGGGGGCCCGTCCCCATCGCCTTCCCCTCAAAGCCCAGACACTCCTGCGTGGTGAAGGATGGCGAGAAAAACAGGATGTACGCCAAGAGGCTGGCCAGGCACGCGCTGGAGCTGGAGGAGGACGCTCAGGACTTTCAGGAGCCGTTTTACAAGGGGACGGAGATGGCCGGCAGCTTGTCGGAGGAGGAGGAGGAGGAGGACGACGGCTGGACCAGGACCTACCACCTCCCTGTGCACCAGCGGCCACGCGGGACACACGCTGCCAGCTCGTCTCCGTGCAGCCCCTACGACTCGTTCCAGCACGGCACCAGCAAGCACCCGGGGATGGATATTTTCGCCCTGTGGGCCCACGCCAGCGACCGGCACCTCGCCCACCCGGAGCACGGCAGGGCTGCGGAGCCCCACATGCAGCAGGAGGAGCCCGTCGGGGACAGGGAGCTCCCCTCCTTGCAGCTGACCTACAGAGTGCTCCGGGACGAGAACAACGTGCTCAGGAGGATGGTGAGGAGCATGCAGAGCTCCTTGGAGAGCCAGGCGCGCACGGTGCGCAGCCTGGAGAGGCGGCTGAAGGCCAGCCTGGTCAAAGAGGAGAGAGAAGCCCAAGGGCTGCAGATGCTCGTCCAGCAAGCCGAGAGGAGCCTCCAGCTCATGACCCAGCGGGCTCTGGAGGCGGAAAGCGACGTGGAGAGGCTGAAGCAGGAGATGATCGTTCTCCAGGGGGAGCTGGAGACCTCCAAGGTGGAGAACGAACACCTGCGAGCAGGCCAGACCACGGACCTGGGGGCGGTGAAGCACAACATCGACGTTGCCTTGCAGAGCCTCCACAAGATAATATCGGGTGCCAACCTGTCCATCAGACAGCTGGTCTCCGGAGCGGAGTCGCTGAACTTTGTTGCTGAGCTCCTGAAGTCCACAGGCAAAATTTCGGATGCTGAAGAAGAGAATGACCCATGAACGAAATGCTGTGGGGGTCCTGTGGGGGAGCACACAGACTGAGGCCACGGGTGTTCCCCCCACCAGCCTACACTAAAAATGTTTTTTCTCATGTGCTGGGCTGCGTGTGTTCATCTTGGTAGCCTTTATTCTTCACAGAAACGCTTGTGTTGTGGTTAATTATGAATTGTGGGTACTGCTGTAGCTGTTTTGGCACAGTGCTGTCCAAATTCACCAAAGATGTGGTTTAGCTTTATCCTTTTGGGACCACCTGTGGGCACAAAGTGACCTTTCTTGGTCACCTAGTCATCCCTCAAGGTTTCTGACCAATTTGGGTTACCCACCTGTAGGTTATCCAGCTGCACACCAGGACTTTCCATGTCTGGCCAAAGGGACCCTTCTTAAATAGTGGGATGCAGTTGGGTGGTGAGGGGTGGGTGCTGGCAGAGTTCAGCACCGTTTTTTTCCCTGATGGGAATTTTGTGGAGCAAAAATTCACTTTTACCTCTACAAGGTAAGTGGCAGACTACGAGGCTGCTGCTGTCTCATGGTCCCCTAGCATCCCTGCTCTGAACAGCCCCGGTTGTGTTGCCACAGGCCTTCAGCTGCCTCAGTAACCTTGGCTTCTGGGGAAGGGACTGCTGATTAACCTTCATCAGAGACGTGACAACGGCAGTGCCTGCACATCAGGGGTGATGTCTGGAGCTTCTGACTTGCTGCCTTCCAGTCTGTGCTCCTAAGGTGGCGGTCACTCTTAACCACACGAAGCCCCACTCTTGCAACAAGCTCTAAACATCAGGTTTGACCTAGAAATCCTTGGATTTGACCGAGATATGGTAACCGCTGGTTGCTCGTCGGTGAGGCTGGCAGGAAGGCTGGCCGTGTCTGCGCTGCTGCCGTAATCCAAAGGTTACAGCGCGGGATTAGCACGGGTGTACAAAGCCCTTCCTAATCGGTGAGTCATTACCCCCTCGCTGCTTTTCACTTCCCAGCAGCTCTAGGTCGGCTCTCGAGCCTTCAGCCTCCCAGTCCTTCAGTTCGGGGAGGACCAGGTTGGGACATAACATCTGCTGGACGTCCTCCCCACGGCGCGCGCGGGCTGCCGCAAGGTCTGTTTGCTCTACCCGGCTTCTGCTTGGCTACCCCTAAGCTCTTTCTTTGCGTCACTTCTCCTTTTTGGCTCTACTTTTTGCTTTCCTTCCCATCTTTAAAATGGTGGTGTTGGGGGGTTGGGGATGTTCTGCACTCCCTGGGATTAAACGCCCTCTGGGTCAGGCTGGGCTGACGGAGATCCCTGCAGACCGCCGCGTGTGTCCGTGCTTTGTTAGATCCTTGTGTGTGGGGTATTTAGGCTGGCTGAGCTCTCGCCCTCGTGTAAGCTATGATATTAATATATTGGCTCAGGGCAGGGGCCCTGCAAGCTGCTCAACTCTCGTGTCCTTGATCTGCGGAGCGGTGACCAGCCTGCCAGCACCTCTACCTGGGCTGGGGGCTGGGGGCTGTGGGTGAACCAGGCCTGCGTCCATCGGCCCTTTACCTGCTGGAGCAGGGCTGTGGCGTGGTGTCCCCTGGCACCACCAGGACCCTCTGGGACCCGTGCACCATCCACACACCCAGGACGGGTGCTTTCGCGGGGGGCTTTGACGGGGTTTTGCTCTGTCCTTCTCCATAAGGCACGCAGCCAGGAGCAATGGCGATGACAGCATGGGCCTCAGCTGGCCAGAGGTGAAACCCAGAGCCGCTCGGTCCCGCCTGAGTGCCGCTGCATGAGATCCCACGCTCCTCCAGCTCCCCTGGCCCCCGACACCCGATGATACAGCGAGCCATGGGCAGCGTCCGAGTCAACCGGTGAGTAGCCTTCATCTCAAGGACTGTTGCCGCAGCAGGTGGTCCGGGCAGCCTCGTCTGGTCCCTCAGGCTCTACCTTCAGCCCATCTCTCGCTATATCCTTCTCAAAATACCTGCCGGGGGCTTTCCCGCTCCAAGCCATGGCTCCTTTCTCTGGCTCCAATCTGAAACGCGCCATATGTGGGGGGAGATCTTGGCTCTCAGCAGGGTTGGCTGCTGCAGAGGAGAAGCAAAGTACCAATGCAGTGCTGGACACTTGCCCTGGCCCAGAAATTGCCAATTTCAGCAGGACTGCAGAAGCCCCGCGTCCCCTTTCCAATGAGATGAGGATGGCAGATGGTGCTGGAGCTGTTAGGCTGCCCTGAAGAAAACACCCTATTTAAGCACCGAGCGCTTGGCACCAGGGTGATGGTGGCCATGCCGGAGGAATCCAGCAAACCTGTCAACACGACGGGGTGGGAGGGAGGCACTGCCAGCCCAAGTGGTCCTGGGAGGCCACGGTGACAAGGGCAGAGTGGTCTCGGTGGGTCTGTGCACGCGGGGAGAGGCAGCTGAATCTCCTCAGGGCTCAGAGCATCTTCTGCCATCATAGCCTTTAAGCAGCCTCTGCGACTTTAGGCCCAGCAGCACATAAGCACTCAGGAGCTGCCTTCTCCTGGCAGCGAGGAGAGGTGCAGCGGTGCCATCCGTGACGGAGGGGAGCAGGGAGGACAAAGGCTCCCCAGAGAGGGGAGTTTCTCCCAGGGAAACTGCCAGTGCTTTGGTTGTTGATCTCCAAATTACACCTTTGGCTTCGGATGCGGGATGCTGGGAGCCACGCTCGTTGCTGTGGCAACCGAATTGTCCTGAGCGCGGGGAAGTGTATAAACATTGTCACCAACGCACAATGGAGTCGGTGAGGAGAGCAGAGGAGGAACTAGCAACGCCCAGCCTTATATAACGCCGGGGCCAACATGTTGCTCCTCACGCCTCTCTCTGCCTGTCCCTTCTCTTCCAGGTACAGCATCGTCTCGACCGAAGAGGATGGACACAAGGTCTCCGCGCTGGGCAGCATGAACGGGCACAGCCGCAACGGGAAGGGCCATGCCCCCCGGCGGAAGCACCGCAACCGCTTCGTCAAGAAGAACGGCCAGTGCAACGTCTACTTCGCCAACCTGAGCAACAAGTCTCAGCGCTACATGGCCGACATCTTCACCACCTGCGTGGACACGCGCTGGCGGTACATGCTCATGATCTTCTCCGCCGCCTTCCTGGTCTCCTGGCTCTTCTTCGGCTTCCTCTTCTGGTGCATCGCTTTCTTCCACGGCGACCTCAACGCACCGGCGGTGGGAGGTGGCCCCTCTCTCCTCAAGCCCTGCATCATGCACGTGAACAGCTTCCTGGGGGCTTTTCTTTTCTCGGTGGAGACGCAGACAACCATCGGGTACGGCTTCCGCTGCGTGACGGAGGAGTGCCCGCTGGCCATCATGGCAGTCGTGGTCCAGTCCATCGTGGGCTGCGTTATTGACTCCTTCATGATTGGCACCATCATGGCCAAGATGGCCAGGCCCAAGAAGCGGGCCCAGACTCTCCTCTTCAGTCACCACGCGGTCATCTCCGTGCGGGACGGCAAACTGTGCCTCATGTGGCGAGTGGGCAACCTGAGGAGGAGCCACATTGTGGAGGCCCACGTCCGAGCCCAGCTCATCAAGCCCTACATGACAGAGGAAGGGGAATACCTACCCTTGGACCAGCGGGACCTCAATGTAGGCTATGACGTGGGCCTCGATCGTATATTTCTGGTCTCGCCCATTATTATTGTTCATGAGATCGATGAGGAGAGCCCGCTCTATGGGATTGGCAAGGAGGAGCTGGAGACGGAGAACTTTGAGATTGTTGTTATCCTGGAGGGGATGGTGGAAGCCACGGCCATGACCACGCAGGCACGAAGCTCTTACCTCGCGAGCGAAATCCTCTGGGGTCACCGTTTTGAACCAGTCGTGTTTGAGGAGAAGAACCACTACAAAGTGGATTATTCGCGCTTTCACAAGACCTACGAGGTAGCTGGCACACCTTGCTGCTCGGCCCGGGAGCTGCAAGAAAGCAAGATGACTATCCTACCTTCTCCTCCACCTCCCAGTGCCTTCTGCTATGAGAACGAGCTGGCTCTTGTCAGTCAAGACGAAGACGAAGACGATGATGAAGTGGGTGTGGCATTAGGTGGCAGCACCAAGGAAGAGGGAGGCGTCATCCAGATGATGGATTTTGGAAGCCACCTGGACCTGGAGCGGCTCCAGGCAACTCTGCCCCTAGATACTATCTCGTACCGCAGGGAGTCAGCCATCTAACTCCTCCAACCTCCCCGTGCTACACCCGTTGCCCACCATCTCCTCCTTTGTTCTGCCCCCGTACGTAGCCGGATAAGTCCCTCGCCCACCAAAAAAAAAAAAAAACAACCAACCCGCCCGTGACCACCTCTCAGCACCTGAGTACATCAAGGCCTGGAGCTGCTCTGATATACTCCCCATCCCGTGAAGTTATACCGCCTGGAAGAGGAGTGAGGATACACGATCCTTCTGGGGTGTGCAGCTTGTGCGAGGACCCGTTGCCTACCCAGAGGCAGCAGAGGAGCACACCCGGGTTTCTCATCTCTGGAGAGGCGACAGGAGTCCGTGCCCTCAACGGGCAGGCTGGGACCCCCGAAATCGTTTCTGCGGCTGAGACACTGACAGACTTTCTGGCCCCTCCCAACGTGGGCAGGCCCCGTGGCTATCACGATTGTCACGAGGAGAGGAGTGGTGATACCTAAGCCCTGACCAGATGAGGATGGACAGGAGAGTTTAGGACTCCTGGAGGGAGCGGGGAAGGCTCTGGAGGGAGGGGTTTGCTTGCATGTTTATTGCTTGTTGCACATGACTTTCTTTGTACATAAACCAGACGAAGAACCGAAATCCATATTCTTCCACTGAAAACGCCAAGCGAGGAGAGAAGGACGCTGCACGTAGCCCGCTCTGCGCTCTCCTCGGCTTTTGGCGCCCGTCACCTCCAGAAGCAGCTCGGCTCCACGGACTCAGTCCCAGCTCTCCCGGCCCTCCCGAAATACGCGTCCTGCTGCTCCCCAAGACGCCTGGCAGGGGAGGCAGGGCCCTGTGCTTGCACGCCCGGACTGCTGCCGGCACGGCACGGCTGGCACGGCAGACAAGTGACCTGAGTGGACAGCAGAACCTCTCCGTGCTCCTTCCACCTCCTCCGTTCTCCTCCCTGCTGCCATCAGCTGTAAAACTGAATTTGTAACTATTTATTTTTAATAAAGTCGAATATCCCAGGGGGAGGTTTGGAAGCGAAGGGGAGACCCCAAGGCTGCAGCCCGGTGTAGAGACTGATGAGTGCTGGTGTTTGCTGTTGGTATGGCATCGGTGCCTCCAGGCTCCCTTGTTCTGGGCCTCTCTGGGAAAGACCTGCCATAAGAGGCTCCAAGAGCATGCCTGGGGCTAGGATATTTTGCACACACCATGCGTGGAGGGAGGGATGCATTTGCATTCGGTTTTCCAATAGGATGGGTCAAACAACCCTGCCTGCTTCGGAGATAACAGGAGTTTTGCCCAAGAAAGGCTCTGGGGTGTGCTTGATGAAGAGGCAGAGTTGTGCTCAACACTGCCCTAGATGTAAGGCTCAACACACACACAAACAAGACAAAAACCCACCCATCCCCAAATTGCTAGGGACAAGTAAGAACTGGGATACATAAAGGGAGGGCATCAGCCACAGCTAGACCGAACATCATTTTTCTATCATTGCACAGAAGGCACAAAAGCTTGGCGAGAGGTTGCCTTTAGGAGCAGCAGGATCACTCATGTAATACTGTAGGATGATAAGAGGATGGGAAGATAAATGGCTAGCTCAAGAAGCCGCCCTGGGCACCTAACAGAGGTGCTATTAGGGAAACGGCTGAGGAAATGATGTCCCACCCCAGCCCTGACCTACAGAGCAGAAAGCCTTTGTTTCTCACACAGCCTCCTGGCTTTTCCCACCTTCGGCTGGCCACCCAGCCTTGTTTCTCCACCTGTGTCCCTGTCCCACCTCCCCTCCCCTCTGCTAATTAACAAAGCCCCTCCCTCCCTTCATTATTTATTTATTTCCCCCAGAGGGAATAAACAGGGGCCGGTATTGACCTGGCTTTCAATACAGCTTTCAGAGCCGGCCGCCTGTCGCTGGCCATGGCAGTGGAAACAAACTAATGGACCGAGAGGGAAGGACTCCGTGTGCGAGGACACGAGCACCCAGGACACGGTTCCCAAAAAGGGGGAGCCCACGTGGCTGGGCACCCCCCCGCCAAGGCACAGCATCCTTTTGGGGGCAGGGAAGTGTTGGGGGTGATGATCCCCCAGCCTGGTTGCTCCCAGGAGCCCCGCTTTGTCAACGCACAGAGGTAGGTGTATCCTTCATCCTCCTTGTGAGCCCCCAAATCACCAAGCACTCGTGCCTAGGGACACACGCATATGTCACACGTGGCCATAAACCACCCTACAGCACAGCCGTTCAGGTAGGGGATGCTTTCTGCTCCTGTGCTCTCCAGAGAAGACACCTCTGTGTGCTCCCTCGCTCCTGGTGGAGGGATCGTTTCTGCAGTGGCTCGTTGTTGAAAGCTATTCAAACCTCGGAAAGCTCACGGGGAGAGGAAGGGCTTTTTCCCCTATGAATGAGATCCAGGCACTGGCTCAGATCCTGCACCCCATGACAGCTAACTGTGCCGCGCTGGCTGCTGCCAGCTCTCGGATGAACATTGTTGTTGTTTGAAATGACACTCGAGCAAACTTGTTTCATGCTTTATTTTTGGTGACACTTCCAGCCAACCCTTTTGAAAAGAGACCGTCGCTGGCACCTTTCAGCTCCCCCCAAAACTTGCTCAGCGAAACGTTTTTTGATACACGACCGCGGCTAAAAATATTGTCAAGGAACACGATAATAGTTTCAAACAGGGAAAAAAAAAATGGGTCTGGATTTCCGTGACCGGGAAATCACGTTGAAAATGTTCTTGTTTCTGAACAAACCTGCTTTTTTTTTTCTTTTTTTTCTTTTTTTTTTCACCCAGCTCTGCTTCCGTTGTGTCCCGGAGCAGAGAGCAGCCATCTGCACGCGGGCTGGTGACCTCTGCGCTGCAAAATGCCTCTTCCCCTTCTTCCCAGGCCATTAAGGGCTTGCTCCTGGCCCTACTAAGTCAATGGGAATTTTGCCATTGCCTGGGGTGAGTGCGGAGCTGGGCCCTAATGGAGTGCCGCTATCGGAAACCCCCCGCGGCAGGAGGCCTGCGCTCAAGCTGGGGAGCTGGGACAGGGGAAAGCGGGCTGAGCAGGAGGGGGAGAGGTGAAAGGGCAGTTTGTGGGGTCGGGGGGGAGCTCAGCACATCCCTTGGGGGGCACCTGGCAGGGTAGGCACCCAGCAGCGGGGTGGGCAGGGGACCCTTGGGTGCAGCCGGCTGGGATTTGGGGTCCCTGAGCCAGGGGGGCTGCCCAGGCTGGGGGCGCAAAGCAGAGGAGCTGAGGTGGCAGCGAGGTGCCCAGCCCTTTTGGGGGGGGGTCTGCTGGGGGGTGCAGCCCTCCCAAACCCCCTGGTGCTCTGCGGGAGCCGGAGCGGGGATGCTGCGTGTCCTCAGAGCACCACCTAGGGATGGGAGCCAGCCTCGCACCCTGCATCCCCTGCTCCTCCAGAGGCTGCGGGGACAGCCCTGAGGGTTCAGAGTCAGGTCCCTCTGGTCACAGCCCTGCCACCTGCCTGTCCCTTCAGTTGTCACCTCTGCAAGCTGGCTGGTTGCAGATGCTCAACATTTCACATTTTTTTTCCCCCACATTTCCATTCCTCAGTCCCTTGGTGTGACACACGTACCTTATGGGGCAGCAGGGTAATGCTGCCTTTCCCCTGCCCCGGGCAGCTGTGAAACTGCGTGGTAGCGGAGAAATGCCCCGCTGGGACGTGTCCTGGCCAGCACGGTGGCTGGCACACACCTCGCAGGCCTTGCAGTGCCCTAGGAGCTCTTCTGGCAACCAACCTTTCCGTATCCCCTCGGGACATAAGGTAATGGTAGCCTGGCTTGCAAACTCTGCTCCTGGGTTTCTCCCAGCTCCTGAGAAAAGCAACGGGAGCAGAGCAGTCAGCTGGCCCTTAGTCAGCTCCTTACCTTTGAATACATCCCCTAAAGAAGGGGGCATCCATTGGGACAACCCCTCTGCTCTCCAGGCAGCTCTAGCTCTAAGCACACAGACCCCGAGTGACAAGCTACCCAAATCAGGGCAATACGGGAAGAGGAAATGCGTGCTGCTAACTGCAGCGGGGTGATTTCACTGCCCTGGGGCCCACGAAGAAACGCAGAGATGGACACAAACACCGTCCTGAAATAGTCTGTCAGACACCGGACATTTGAGCTTTCAAAGCTTTTGGCCTCTGAAATGAGCGGGATTCTTTTGGTGCTGTGCTATTTTGAAATAGCACGCCTTGAGACCTGGGACCCGGTGCTATTAGGGTCCCCGGGCTGTGGTGCGGGGATGGAGTTGTTCGAATGTCCCAGCGCTGCGGTCACCGAAATTGCCCAGCGACTTGCCCCAGAGCACGAACCCCCCCGACCCTCGGCTGTCGCAGGGAGCCAGTCCCCAGCTGCCTCTGGCCCTCGGCCGCGTGGTGAGATGGCCTTTTGTTAATCGGTGCCCCGTGCCTGGCGCTCAGCCGGCGAGGACAGGCTGTCCCTTGCGGAGAACCCCCTTGCATAAGAATCGCGGAGGAGCCGCGCTGAGATGCTGAACTAATCCAGCGGGGCATGCCGGGAAGCTGCATTTTAAGCCATCCTCCCTGCCCTCCCGGCTCCCCGCATGTTGTTTATCTCTCCCGGCCCTCCCACAGCCGTACGTGAATTATCCTGACTGGGCAAGCTGGTTTCATAACCGCCTGGGCCTCCCCCCCACCCCCCAGCACGCATATACGTGGGACTGGCTCGTACACGAGAGGCTTTTTGGCCACCGTTTTTCGCCGCTGTGAATCACGAGCTCGGGTGAACGCCGTGCTCCCCCCCGCGGGTGGTATCGGAGTGGGTTTGCTCCCATGGCAGGCATGTGCCACCTCACCTCTGCCAAAAATGCCAAGCGCAATCGGGCGCTGCGCATCACAGGACGCAAGGGCAACGCGGGATGAAAGGGACCCCACCAGGCACCACCGAGAAGGGCTTGGCTCTGTCTTTTTACTCCCCAACCCATATCCTTGCTGGGGACTCCTTTCCAGGTGCAGGGCTTTGTATGTCCCTGCTGAACTCATCGGGTTCCTGCAGGACCATCCCTCCAGTCTGCATCCCTGGTAGTACTGGTGGTAGGGGGCTGGTTGGACCTTGGAGGTCCTTCCAACCTTAATTATTCCCTGATTTTCGATCCTCCTTCCAACGCAGTGTCACCTGCAGGCTTGGTGTCTTCTCCATGGGCTGCTCATCCTCTCACCAGAGGGTAAAAGAAGATAAAAAAACCACCCTCAGAGCTGTATGCTCAGAGCCAGCCCTCCAGGATGATGTGATGGGGCTGGCCCAGCCCATGGCTCTGCCACGGGGCAAAACCCAAGCAAAGAGAAGGACAAATTCCACCCCTTTTCTCCAAAAAAGACAAGCTTGGAGGATGAGCTTATACACCTTCAAACAAGGTGCTGCAGACTCAGCCCTGAGCCCTACTTCTGCCCTGTCCCGCAGTCCTCTGCTACGTCTGCCCTGGCCTAACACAGCCCCAGGGGTGCACCTCAATATTCCTATTTGTTTGTTTTCTTTTTTTTTTTTCCACCTGGTCATTTTTTTCTTTTACTTTTTTAAACAAAGCAAGGCGGCGTGGGTGGCTGACAGAAGCTGGGAATACCACAAGGATAAAAAAAGGTGAGGTATATGGAAAAAACCAATAAAGGCCCTTAATTATAGGTGTGGCCGGGAGCAGCTCCTATTATTAACGCTGCCGACACTTCCCCTTTTTCAGACCCTGTTTTCACTAGCTTATAGCTTTGTCAAAGCTTCTCCAACCAAGCAGAAACTTTCAGTTGCCAGCGATGTCCTCAGCTTGGATTGGGCCCGTTTATTGAGTTTTTCTGGAAATGCTGAAAACCCAGGAAGGGTTTTGGAGCCCAGGAGCATGGGGTAGCGCGGTGGGGAGGGGGAGAGCAGGAACCAGAGCGTTTGTGGGGGTCTTGGTGGCAGGTGGGATTGGGGATGGAGCCGTGTCAGCTTGTGCTGCTGGGACCACAGGTTTCTCCAGCACCTCTGCAAGAGGCCACGATTCCCAAGGCTTTCTGGTGCTGTGATGCTCCAGAAACATCCTCGTGAATTTGAGTTATGATAGACTCTTTAATTACACGGCCACAGATTTATTTTCCACAGGACACCCGCCGCACGCAGGTTGGACGGTGCTCGGGATGAGTCGGGACTGTGTCATGCAGGAGCCTCCTTGCAGTGCCTCAGCATCATTTTTTATTTTATTTATTTTTTTTTATTTTTGCAAAAGTCTGAAGGAAAAGGAGTGACTCATTGCTGAGACGGTTGTGTGCTGGCCTGGATCCCTGCCCCGCCGCGGATTTCCTACCTGATGCTGAGCGAGTCACTCACAGCAACCTTTTTGGAGGTAGCTATTAGCTATGTTTTATTTATTTTGGCGTTTTGCTTTGTTTTTGGCCTCGTGCTATCCTGGGATCCTGGTGTCTCATTTGCGGGAGTATTTATTGCTCCCTGCTGTGTGTGAATTGGGACTTGACTGTACAAAAGGCTACAAAATGCAAAGCGCTCTGGCAAGGCTCACCGCTCAGATCAGCGTCCCCAAATTGCAGGCTACTTCTTACCTTACATTGGGGAACATTAGGTCTTCTCTGAAATGCTGCTCTTTTGCTTGGTGTGAGTATCGGGAAGGCAAATCCCTGATTATTTGGGAAGCACTGCGAAATCAAAGTGCGTGTCCCTGTGAAAAGACCCCGTGAACATTAATCATTGTTTTTAGAGTAGGGGCTGACTATCCTGGAGTTAATAAACTGTGAGTTAACGCTTTGAACAACAAGGAGAAAACAGAATACCAGACAGCTGATCCTCAAATGATCACCAGCCAGCCTGGGCAGGGATCCCGGGACAAGAAATGCATGTGGTCTTATACAGCCTGCACCGTAATCCATATCCTTCCTATTTCGGCCCATTTCGGGTCTGAGGATTGTGCTGCGCTAGCGCTGCCCTCGCATAGCAGTTTCGAGTGTGATCAAGTAAATCTTGTGGTCCTCGTGACACACTGCTAACCCCGTGCCTCTGTTACAGCGAGGGCAGGAGGGCAGCCGAGCTGCGGCCCCAGGGCAAGCTAGCGCAGGAGGCGGCCAGATTTCTGCTGGGTTTATCAGCATCAGATGAGCAGAGGTGGCCCTGGCCCGGTGGGAATGTCACCTCAGGGACTCTTGGGCTGCCAGGAGGTCTGCTCTGCTGGATGCATCAAGCTGTGTGTGCTTGCCTCCTCTTGAATGCCAGGTGTTTGCTCTCACTTCAGATTTCTTGCTTCTGCTGGGCCCTGTAGAGGTAGAGTATCAGCACAAATTCAGTTTTCTCTGCTCTTCCACTCGTTCCTCACACTTCCCCAGCATGTGAAGACACGGCTCTGGTCTTTGAAGCAGCACGTCCCTCCCTGGATAGCAGACGAAACGGGAATCTGCTCACTGCAGAGCTGCCAAACGCGACCTGGCAGCGCTCTGAGGTCTGCCGGGTCACCAGAGCTCAGCTTTCCCTTGGGAGGGCTTCAGTTTACCCCTGAGATTTGCTAGGTGCTATGAAGTCAGCTCCCTGGTCATGGAAAATCATAGACGGGGATTGGGAGGCCACCCAGCAGTGACACCGCGAATAAAGGGGGCAGCTCCGGCCTTTCTTCTCCCTTCCTACCCCAGGAACGGAGTGGCCAGCAGAGGTGATGCTGGTTGGGTTCCCACTGAGATGAATCCCCCTTGGATACACCAGCCAGCGAGCGCCTTTCCGACCGCTCCTGGTGCTCAGCAGAGCGGGGCAGGGTCTCAACCCTCAACCCTTGACCCATCACCATGGGCTCCCCCCACAGCACTACAGTGTGAGCACCGGGGGCTGCCCGAGGACCTTCCCAAGAGAACAGGACAGCCCTGACGGAGATGGGGTCCCTATGGGCTGCTCCAGGCATCCCCCAAACCAGCAGCCCCTGGGCCGGGCTCCCCAGGACAAATCCCTCCAGAAGACGAGGTGTAGCCAGGCAGTGCTGGAGAGAAGGTGGGTGTTATTAGACCACGTGGCTAGCCCGGCTACCAGCACGAAAAACTTGATTACAATTCAATTAAGGAAACGCTTCTAATTAAGGAGTTCTTATTTTAAGCCCGAAATGATTAAAATAAAGGCGGCGGAAGTGGCCGTACACGCACTCGGCTTTCACCCGCGAGGGCTGCGTCTCCGCTGGGGGACTTCTCCAAGATCCCGACCACCACCCCAGCCCTGGCCTCGTGCCGTGTCAAGCGGTGCTGAGGGGCAGAGCCGGCATGGCACGGCTCCGTGCCCACCCACCCGCCTGGCCCAGAGCTGAAATTTCAATTCAGGAACCTCAGCATCTGTGGGAAGGGGGAGAGGGTGAGGGGAAGGTGCTGGGAGCACCCCTGAGGGGAGAGGAGCGAGCACGTTACTATTAGCCGAGGTTGGGAGGGGAAGGATAGCTAGTGGAAAGAGGAACGGGCAAAATATTTTGGGTTATGCTGATGGTGTGAGGGCTGGGCAGTGACACTTGGGCATGGGGGCTCCTGCTGGCAGCGGTGGTGGCCAAAGTGACCCCATTGGGGACATGGCGCCCACCCTCAGGGATGTCCCTGAGGACTCGGGGCCACCAACTCGACGACATTTTAACTCCCGCGGTGTGAGGGAATTGGGCAACCTCGGGCCTCTGGCTCCCCTCAGGGCTAAGGAGAAAGGAGAAAGCGGGGAGCCACCGAGGGGCAGCGTCCCCCATGCCCCTTCTGAGGGGACATGGACTGAGGGACGGGGGGGGGCAGAGGGAACGGCGGTTGCGCCTTTAACGGCGGGCGGGAGGAGGAGGAGAAGAAGGAGGAGGAGAAGAAGGGAGGAGGAGGAGGAGGAGGGCTGGGGCTGTGCTGGGTGACATCAGTGGGTTTGGCTCCGGGGCTCAATGGAAACTGGGTGAGCGCCGGGCTGCGCCGAGCACACGCCGGCTGGAGGGGACGGCGAAGCGGGCGGGGAGGCGGCAGGCAGCGCCTCGCCTCGCCTCGCTCAAGCTGAGCTGAAGGAGGGACCGCAGCCGGGGCTACGGCAGCCGCCAGCCCTCCCCAATCCTCCGTCATCCTCCCCTCAGCCGCCGCCGGGCCCCCTGACAGCCGGCGGAGCAGCAGCCCCACACGGCCCCCTTCCCGCCTGGGTGGGTATGGGGGGCGCCCGCCTCCATCTTGGGGCGCAAACCCCGGGGGAAAGGCGGCCCCTCCGGCTCTTTGTGTGAGGGAGGGAGGGAGGGGAAGGGAGAAGGGAAAAGGAGGGGCGGGGAGGGGAGGGAGGGCAGGGCCGGGCTGGGGGGCAGCGGGGACAAAAGCCCCTTTGTGGGGGTGCTGTGGGGGGGGCGCCCCCATTGCCCCCCCCCCCCCTCCTTGGGAAAGGGGGAGCTGGGTTTCGGGGGATCCCCGCTGCCACCCTATATAGGAAATGGGGAGGGTTTGGGGGTCCCCAAGTGGGGTCTTTGGGATGTGAACCCCCCCCTACACCGCCTTTGTGCCGGGGGGGGGGGAATGGGGTTTGGGGTTTTATTGGGGTAACGGGGGGCCGCGGCCGGCTGGTGAGGCGGGGGGGGTGCTGAGAAGTTGGTTCCCCTTTCACGGAGGGTGGCTGCTTTTATTAATTATTATTATATTATTATTTTTTGCTGTTGTTGTTGTCGTTGCCTACCCGGAAAAATAAAAGCCCCGGTACGGCCGGCTTTCGGAGTGTTTTGCCTGTAGGGGGTGGGGGTGGAAGGGGAAAGATTTATTTCATTTCACCCCCCCCTTTTCTTGTTTGTGGCTGTTTGTGCCTAAAATGTAGGCTTCGATGCTTGGGGGGGGGCTGGTTTTTAATTTATTTTTTAATTATTATGATCCTTTTCTGCCCCCCATCTTATCTGCTGCCAGATATCTATCCTTTTCCGAAGTGTGAAGGGGGGGGGGGGGGCTGTTTGATGTTTCCCCTTTCAATCAAAACGCGATTTTTTCCCCCATTTTTTTTTTTATTTTTTTTTTTATTTTTAAAGCCGGTTCAGATGATCGCCTCGCCAGCCTCTTCCTTTATTCCCTTCACACTGGCGCACACACACACACACACAGACACACACACACACAAAAAAAAAGCCCTGCACAGCCTTTATGGGCAAAGCAACCCCCACTCTCCACACTTCCCCTTCGAGCCGGAGCGGTGCTGGGCTCGGCAGCCTCCATGATGCAGCTGCCGAGCTTGGCCGCCCCGATTGGCTTTTGGGGTGGTTTTTTGGGAGCCCAAATCCCCACCAGCACCTCGCTCCCCACCTCCTCAGGTGGGGCCGAGACAACTCTGCCCCTACAAAACGGCTTGGCAGGGCCTTCGCCCGGCGTCGCCGCTGACACGCCGGTGTGCCGTGGGCTCCGTGCCGTGTTTATATAATGGCCTTTGTGCACGTACGTGGGTATTTGATATTATATAAAAGGGGATTGGTGCAAAACGGTGCGTGTGTGCGTGGACCGACACGGGTGGCTGCATAGTATTTTAGTATTTTCTTCCTTTTTTTATTTTTTCCCCCCCTTTCCGAGGCGGTGTAGTATGTTGTAGGTGTCTGGGTGATGTGGATATTACCGTATGCAAACGCTCCTGCGGAGCACACGCTGGCTTTTTTTTTTTTTAAGGTTGTATGCGCCTTAATCCCGTATGGAAAACTAAATGGTTTAACTAAATGATCGCCCTGCAGCCCCTGGGAGTGCTGCCTCGGCTGGAGAGTTAAAGTCTGCTTGGGGGGGGGGGTGGATTTCTGAAATTTCCGCACCTATAAATAATATATGGAATGATATAATTTTAAAATATTAAAACGTGAGCCCTCGGTGCTACACCCCCGTCCTTCTCTTTGCAGTAGTAGACCTGGAGGTGAGGTAAGGGCAGGAGCTGTGTAGGGGCGAGCGCATGGAGGGGGAGGGAGGCAGCCGGGGAACGCGGTGCCTGTTGGGGCTCCTGCAGCAGTTGGTGCTGGGGGGCGGCCGCCCCCCTCGCCACGAGTCCCCGCTGTCCCTATCAGGCCATCGAATCCCCTATCGGGCCGTCATCGCCGCCCAGGTTCACTTGTGTGCGTGCTGGGGGGGAGATAAGGCAGGGTGACAGCTGTGTGACTGTGATTTTTCACTCCATTATCCTGCTTCCCGCTTCCACCCCCTCACCCCGGAGCAGTTTTTTTTTTTTTAGATTCCCCTCTGGAGCCTGTTGCTCAATCAGCTAGGAGGGCTGCTGCCCTGCTGTGCGAGAAACCCTTCTCAAGCCAGCTGTCCCAAAAGGGTGGGACCGTCTTTAGGTTTAGGTTTGTGGCATTGCGGACCGGTGTCGCCGTGCCCCGGAGCGATGGGACCCCGCTGGGACCTGTCCCCAGCCCCCGGCTTGGGTTGGAAGCGCGCCGGGTGGCCACAAAGGACAGAGCCATCTTTATAGGGGTGGCGTGATGGGTTCCTGGGGACGCAGACCTTTGATCCCTGGTTGGCGTAGGAGGCTGAGCACCTCGGCCGTGCGTTAACGTGGTCATACGGAACAGCAGGCAGCGGATAAAAGCCGGGCCTGCCTGCTGCGCCCTCGCCCAGGTGTGCCTGCCGCCCGGTTCCCTTCCCAAGGCTCTGCCTACATTCCTCGGGAGTAAGAAAGTCAGAAATAGCCACGGGGTTTTGTAGTCTTCAGAAACCCACACACGTGAGTAAAGAGTGAGGTGAGGGGACTCCACCTCGCAGCGTGTTGCGGGTGGTTTCTGGTGGCAGAGCTCTGCTTTCAGGGTTCACAATGTCCCCTGAATGCCTTGATAGGATTATTTCCCCGGCCCTGCAGCTCGGCCGTTCCTCTTTCTGTAATCCCATCTCCTGGGGCAGGAGGAGCAGCTCCGGGTTTATGGTGTGCCCAGAATCCCATAGCTGGGATTATTTTTTTGTGTGTGTGTGTGCGTCTCGCAGAGCCAGCCCTCCCTCCCTCCTCTCCCTCGCTGATGCTTCCTTCCCAGCGGGCCATGGCGAGGGAAAGTTCCTCTCACCTACTTGTGAAAACATGAATCATTCCTCACCTTTCCTGTCCCCAACAGACTCCGTGTCTGCGTTTCGTACGCTAATAGCGTGGCATTGCATAAATCAGGAGCGCGGCGGGTTCCTCTAAAAGGAGCCGTGCTCGAAGCCTGGGGAAGAGCTGCGCTTCCTAGGGCAAGTTGGTGAAGCTGCTGGACCAGAGGGTCGGATGGGGAGCAAGTTCCTTCTACCTTAGTGGGTTTTCTCTGGCAGGTGAGGAGGCTGAGCCTGGGGAAGGTACAAAGGGAAGGGTCAAAGGGTGAGCTGATCCCCTCGGGCACCTGGGATGGGGGAAGGCCCCAGCTGCTGAAAACAAGCAGTTGGCTCCCCTGGGGGGGGGTAGCACAGGCGGGGAGGCTCAGATCCCATCAGCAGAGGTGCGAGGAGATAAGCAAATGGTGTTGTTGCTTCTCTGCGCGACTGACGGCTCCTCCCTGGCCCCCGTGCCAGCCCCAGCCTAGGGGCAGCGGAGCTGCTTGCTGCTGGCAGTCTGTCTGTCTGTCTGTCTGTCTGCCTCTCGCAGCCCCTGGTTGCAGTGCTGTGGGGCCAGAGGGAGCTCCTCATCACGGGACAGAGCGCCCTTTTTGGTGTTCCTGCTGCTAGAACTGACCCGGTGCCGGTTATTTTCAGCTGGCTGTGAAGGGAGAGGGTACTGGCGCCTTTCTAAAGGGATTTCCTGCCCCAAATCTGAACAAAATGTTGGGAAATGAGGTTCAATCTTTCTGCCTTCCCATGATGTTCTCGAAAGGGTCACGTTCCTGCAGCGCTTCCAGCTCCCGCTGCTCCTGGACATCCACGCAATCAGGGCAGTGGCTGTGTGGAAGGTGAAACATTTCGGGTGCTGGGCGAAGCAGCGAGGCCCATTCTGGAGCCTTCCACGGCTACCGAGTCAGCTCCTGGTTCTCCTCTGACCGTTTTCTGCCTTTTTTTTCCGCAGCACGCCTGAGCCATGGAGCTTCGAGTGGGGAACAAGTACCGGCTGGGCAGAAAGATCGGCAGCGGTTCGTTCGGAGACATTTACCTAGGTGAGTGCGAGCCTCCGCGTCCTTCCACCTGCCAGGTTGCTGTCTCTGGGTTGCGCCACTGTTTTTGTTCTGTTCGCCTGGTGGTGTTTTAGGTGCTGTGTAAGGTTGGAGGTGGTGGGGAAAGGGGGAAAAATAAAGCTTCAAGGAGTGTTTCCAGTTGCTGCTGGCCCTCTGATGGCGCAGAGGGTGGGATAAACTCCACCTTGCCTCACAGATACTGGAGACGGAGTGGTGTTTGATCAGAATGATCTAGGTTTGGGCTGCTGAGGGTGTATTTGTCATCCACCCTCCTCCAACTCTCACGCCTCCTGCTCCTGAGCTTGGGTGTGTGGGTATAAACTCTGTCGGTGGGTGGTGGGAAGGGAGGAGATGGCCTGTCCTTCGCGGTGAGACGAGTAAAGCGATGGGGAGGCTGATAGTGGAAGAGGTGGTCCAGCTCCTGTGAGAGAGGCCTGAGCTGAGGAGGTGGAAAACAGGTCGGAGAGGCTGGCCTGGTTAAAGCCCTGGGACCCAGATCTGATAGGTCTGTAGTGGGTGGGGTGGGATTTAGTGGGATTTAGAGTTACCAGCGGGAGTGACCTGAGCCGGGAGCTGCGTGGGGTCAGCGGACGGAGCCTGTGAAGCTCTGGGGTTTCCTGTTACAGCAGCACTTGGGGAGAAGTTCCTCCGAGGCAGCACGCTGACGTGGAGATGCGCTCCCTGATGATGTTACTGGCTCAAACCGAGTGGGGCTGGAGTGGCGAGACTATCCAGTAGCCCGAAAGCCATTTGTGAGAGCTGTGCTGGCCTCACCTCTTGTCCAGTTCCCACCATCACCCTGTAAGCTGTAATTCCTCAGGCCAGCAGAACGATTGCCCTTTCCTCCTGGTGTTTGCACCCTTTGGGTACTCACAGCTGCTTATCCTACGCTCCTGGGCTGTTTGTGCGCTCAGTTGAGTCCTGTTTTGCTTCCCACCACATCCACCGCCCCTCCCTGTTGCTGCTCTCTCAGTTTCTCCCAGTTCGTCCATCTGCTGAGCAGCTCGGAGCCTCCACGTTTTTCAGGTGTGGTGTTTCCAGTGCTGGGCTGAGGAGGGCCACCCTTGGGTGATGTGTAACGCCAGTTGAGACCACTTTGGGTCTCCTGGGACCACTTTGGGAGACCCAAAGTGCAGAGCTGGCCTGAAACGCGCCGTCAGCTGTACTGTGCGAGGTCTCTTCCAGGTTCTGCAACATCTCCGTCCCTCCCCGAGTTCCCCTTCAGTGGATGCCTCTAGTTCAGGTTACTTCTCCCTGTTTTGTAAATCACCTTCTGTTTTCTACCTCTGGCTTCTATCGCCAGCTCTCTTTTTGCTTTATTATTCTCCCTTGATTGGTGTTGGCAGCTCCCCTTGACGAAGTATCCTGTGGGAATCATCAGTAACGGGCTTTGTTGCCACCTTTCTCCAGAGCACGAACAAAGGTGATAAATAATGGATAAGGGAGCCCAATTCCACCGTGTGCTGCCTTTTGCTTCTTTTTTTCAGCCAGTCAGTGCCTCAGGTGCCCGGGTAATGCCCAGGTGCTAGGATCGAGGGGGGGATGATTATTTTAGCCCAGACACAGCCTTTTCCACTCGTGCCAGGGCTTGAAGCCTCGCAGACCCCCTCTGACACAGGGTGGCTGGGTTCAGCCGAGTGGTATCAAAGCCCTTGTGATGTTCCTTGAGGAGCAAGCCAGCCTGTTTTGAAGCAGCGATAGCGAGACTCGGCGGAGCCGGGGTGACTCCCCAGCCCCGAGGGCTCGGGCTCGCAGTCGGGAGGACTCCCGGCCTCCCTCTTTTGGGGTGGTGCTGCGTGCTCTGCTCCTCGGGCTTCCTGGCAGAAGGAAACCCGAATTTCCACGCGGGCACACACACAAAGCGGGGAATTGTTGCGCAGCTTAAGCTGGGGCTCAAACAACGACGTCCCCTGCGTTGGTGAGGGGATGGCGGCTGGATGGGGCTGCCCGCAGGCCTCGGCTAGGCCCCGTTGCCTCCAAAAAGCCTCGAGCAGGGCACCAAAACCCAGCTGGGAGCAGAGTCTCTTTGTCAGGGCGGTGCTGCCGGCCTCGTACAGATGGCCGGGGCTGGGGTCCACCCGGGGAGCCCTTGGGGTGAGCGCAGGGGGCGAGGAAGGAGGGAGCGCGCTGCAGACAAAGCATGCCGGGACAGCGCTGCCTTTGGACAGTTCCTGCTTGCAAGCTCCTCCTCGCTGGGAGGGGAGCTCGTTTCCTTTGTTTCCTGGCCTGTTAACTCTCTCTCACCCTCTCTGCCTTCTCCCATCTGCTGGCAGCCCTCCTTTCTTCCCTCTAGGAGCCGGGGCAGGCGCCCGTTGTCTGGCCCGCTGCGGGAGGAGGGTGGCGTTTGCCGCATCAGGCGGGCGGCCAGGCCTCTCTTAAAAGCAGATCCTGTTCAGCAGGTGACATCCCCTTGTCCCCGGGGCCCCGTTTCAAACAGCTCGTGATGAATGAGTCGCTGCTGTGCGCGGCCCCCACAGCGGAGCGAGACCGGGGGCGGATGTTAGGAATTATCCCCGATCCTACAGCCGTCTCTCGGCTGGCTCTGCCGCACGCTCGTCTGAAACGGGGGGGGTTTCAGAGCGAGGAACTGTTGCTTTTGTGTTTGTGCCTTTAAAAAAAGATGGTGGTTAAGGCGTGGAACAAAGGGAATCCTCTCTGATCCTCCTGGTTGCTGGTAGTCGCTGTCTGAGTAGACCTCTAGCCCCCAAAAAATAAATGATAGAGGGAGCAAGCTGAAGGTATTAGGGGCGGGGGGCTGGCTGAAGGCCTGTGACCCCCTCAGCAAAGAACAGCCCCTTATCAGACATAATTCATCCTATTCTTGCTGTCCCAGGCCACGGGGGATTGTGCTTCCTCTCAGAGGCTGACACCTGCGTCTGGGCTACCGAGAGCGTGGGGCTGGTGGCCACGCTGATCACTTGAGTGCCACCCTTGTGTTTTGTAGGATCTAAGCTCTCATAATGTTCGATGCCCCCCTTTTCCATTCCCACTTTACATGCTCGCAGATGGCACCCCCACCTGCACGCAGCCTTGTCAGCGGGTGCGTTGCCATCTTCCTAAACACGCGTTCGTCCTTCCACTCTTTGGCTTTTGGGGGTAAAAGGTTCATTGAAAATGCTGCCAGAAGTCCACAAGAGTCATCGCTTCTCGTGTGTCAGCAGATGGACTGGGAGAGGGGGGAAAAAAACCCCCAGGGGATGCGCAAGGGAGCTGCTGCGGAGGATTTGGAGGAAAATCTTCACAAAGGCAGGGGGAAGAGAGATGGGAAGGAAACACTCTTGTATTTTTGGGTATCCTGGGTGTTTCCGTGCTGAATGTGGCCCTGTGGTTGAACGCCCATTTAGAAGGTACACAACTAGTCCAGGGCCACGTCCTTACTGTGATCTGAGCCCCTTTTACTGCTCTTCTTTCCCTGATCTTTGTAAGAAGGGTCCTGTGGTGGAGTGAAGGGAAAGAACAGGCTTGGTTTGCTGGCCAGCAGGTTTTGAAGTGGAAAATAGCAATCTTTTTTTTTTTTCTGAAGTCACCCTTGGAAAAATAGCTCTAACTATTGGGGTGGTTTTTCCCCCTTCCCTTCGACTGGCTCTTGAGTAAAAACCCTTATTAAATCCATTCCATTGCTCCTCCTTCCCCTCCCTCCGAGCACCCTAAATAATTCCTCTCCCTCCTTGGTGTTTACAGCCTTCAAATATTTGCAGACTGTTGTCATGTCCCATTCTTCTTCCCCACCCTTCTTAGTTGTATCTCTTGTCTCTGTTACATATTTAGCTCTTTTAATCTTTCTTAGTAAATCAATCCCTCTAGGCCCTGATCGTTTTTGTTCCTCTCTTTCAAATTCCTCCCAGCTTGTCTGTCTCGACCTGACACTGTAGCATCTCGATGACGTCTTCTTGCTCGCAGGGAGCTCTTGGCTAACTCTTGTGTACAAGCAGTGCCCCGAACCCTTCAGCAGGAGATGGATCTCGTGTAGGATCCACTGGGAGAAGGGATTTAGTTGCACGAACTGTTCCCTTTTTCTCTCTAGTCCCTGGTTCTGGAGGAAGTGTGTGAAAGAGGATGGAGAGAGATCCATCTGCAGCTGTCCTTGTGGATTTCTTTAAGACTTTCGGAGTCTTAACACAGGGGTTGGGAGGCACGAATTCACCACACCTACCAAAGCTGGCTGTGGGTTATCTACAAAACACCAGCTCTGACTCCAGCTCACGCTCCCCACGCGTGTTGCGGAGCAGTTTGCTTTGGGAGAGTTCCCAAGCAGCTGGTAAGCAGAGCTGCCCTCTGAGCTGCGTTCGGGTGCAACTTTGCGTAGTCCCTGATACGAGGAAGGGCTTGTTTGTGCGCGAGGCAGGCGCAGGAAGGGGGAGAGAGAAGCAAGGCTGGAGTGTCATTCCCGTGACCTGTGGCAGATCTTCATTCTTTCCATTTTAGGATGATGGGAAACATCTGGAATCCTCCCTGCTAATACTAGAGAAGGATCAGCCTGTTCCTCCTCTGGCAGCGCGCGTTGGGACTAAAGTGCTGGCTTTCGTGGCTGGCAGCTCGCTGCTTTTTTAGAAGGAAGCACGCGGGGAGGTGCTTTAGTGTCACCACAAACCATCGAGCAATACCTTCAACAAAAGGCGTCTGAGTAGCTTAATTCAGTTCCGGGCTCAGTTTATTTCTTCGCGCTTCTAATTTTGGATGCAGCAAATGTTTTTGTGTTGGCAAAAGATAAAGGTATTATTAAAGCCCTCAGGAGAGGGAGAAGCTGGAGGTTGGGGAATTGTCTGTATCAAGCAGGTCAGGGCTGTAGAAAAAACAGAGGGAATGTTAGCAATGTCTCCTCAACCCATTGGCACCGGAGGTAAGCAGTAATTTTTCTAGGGAAGATGCACTCCATATCCCTGCCTGGGGGCTGATTTGGGTTTAGGGGGCTGAGCGTATGCTCAGGGACAGCTAAAACTTGTCCTCGGTTTTGTTCCTGCTGGTGCAGGCTGTCCTCTCAAAGTCTGGCACTTGTTGAGACAACGAGGCGGTTTGTGTGTTGTAGGACTGTTGTTCTAGCCCAGCTGCAGGGGCAGAGCTGGCTCGCTAGTCATGTGCCTTCCTCTGGACGTCTCTCTGCAAATGGCAGTGCTGGAAACTTGGTAGGAAGCAGCTGAATCTCATTTGTGTCGCAGAGAATAAATTTCAGGGCAAATCTCAAGGGTTGGGCACCTGCGAGGGCCTTGTTAAAATGGTTGACTTCACTGGAAGCCTGCTCAATCTTCATCTTACCCTCGTCTCTGCGCAGGAGCCAACATTGCAACTGGTGAAGAGGTGGCCATCAAACTGGAATGTGTCAAAACCAAGCACCCCCAGCTCCACATCGAAAGCAAGTTCTACAAGATGATGCAAGGAGGAGGTGAGCTGGGGAGGAGAGGATGGGGCTGGGGGAGCGGTTGGGGGAGGGAATTATTCTGTTGGGCCTCTGAAAGAAAACGATTTGGTATCGCATAGAACTCTCTCGGCGGGGGCTGCAGCAGTTTTCCTCTGTTCTGTGGGCTTAATTTTTGTGTTTTCCCCAGTGGGCATCCCCTCCATTAAGTGGTGTGGAGCAGAGGGGGACTATAACGTGATGGTGATGGAGCTCTTGGGGCCGAGCCTGGAAGATCTCTTCAACTTCTGTTCCCGCAAATTTAGTCTCAAGACAGTTCTGCTCCTAGCAGACCAGATGGTGAGTTTCCTCTGAAGCATTTGTGCCTACTCTCCTTCTCCATGCCTCTTTTATCTTTTTCCCCATCCACTGTGCTCGAGCAATGCAGTACCCCAGGCTTTTGCATTTAGCAGCAAGTGGCTGCCAGGTTTTTCTTCCTCGATGAAGCTGGAGGCCTGGAACCTAGGCACTGCTGACTTTTTCTAATCTCTGTCCGTCCTTCCTTCCTCTTTTGCTCGCCCTCTGTTCGTGTTGCATACGTAGCTACTTTTACTGGCCTGATAAACAACTGCTATTGCTACCCACCCTGAGTAAACTGCGCCTGCCCTGGGCTTAGGATCTTCAGCTCTTCTGGACCCTCTCCTTTCCCAGCCTGGCTTAGTTTGAAAGCTGACTGGTGGCAACCCTGAAGCTCAGAGTTTTAGTGCACGCAAACACTCTCCAATTCCTTCCTTGTGCTGCTAACAGTCACCTCCCCAGGCTGAGGACTGTGCTGGTGTGCAGGGTCAAATTCCATCTCCAGATCCTCCAGGGGGTGGGAAGGGTTGTCTTTTCCTTGCCTGCCACCTCGGATATTCTCTGCCAAAGGGTCCCTTTGCCTGCTTTGACAGGGCATGGCATCTTTAGAATGGCTGCAGCTACGATGAGCTTTCTTTTCACTCCTCACTTTATTTTTATTTGATTTTTATTTTTTTTCCCTTCCAGATTAGCCGTATCGAGTACATTCATTCCAAGAACTTCATCCACCGGGACGTGAAGCCAGACAATTTCCTTATGGGGCTTGGCAAAAAAGGCAACTTAGTCTACATCATTGATTTTGGCTTGGCCAAGAAATACCGAGACGCCCGGACCCACCAGCACATCCCTTACCGGGAAAACAAGAACCTGACCGGCACAGCCCGTTACGCCTCTATCAACACCCACCTGGGAATCGGTGAGCCTGCTGTTGCTTTCCACGGGACACCCTTTGTGTCTGGTGCCAGGGGGAGCAGCAAATGTTCTCCTGAAGGTTTCAAAGCCACCTCCAGGGTTTGAGTTGCTCGCAGCTGGGTCCTGTGCCCGGCTCTGCTGCTGCAGGTGGTGGGCAAAGAACTGAATCCTTGTGCCTGTGTTACCTCTCCTGCCTTCTGCATCCTTCTGAGCTCCAGAAAGGATGAATTATCTGCTGGTGTGTGTTTGTGCACTGCTTAGTAGTACAGCAGGGCCCTGTTTTGAGCGGTGAGGCTGCAACCCTCTTGAATTTACTGCCTCTAACTCTGCCTTGTGCCGTTTTTGCAGGCTGGTAGATGTGTAAGGAAGCATTGGCAGACCCTAAGCCCTTAGGGATAGGTGCAGCTGAAAAACCTCGCTTGTTGACTGCATCAGCGATGAGTTTGTAGCTGTCAGAGCTGGAGGGTGCAGGCCCACCACGATGTGGTGACGCTCCTCTCACCCACCGCTGAGGAGGGGGACAGCAACGTGCTGGAAACGCAGGAGCAGCTGAAACGAGGGGAGGCTTCCTTCGGCACAAACATCCAGGTTTTGTGATAATGAGGGTTGTTGGCTTTCACAGGCCTTTAAGACGCGTGGGTGTGCTGACAACGCTCTCCCATTCACCTCTGAGAGAGAACACGAGGCAGCTCTGGGGAGACAGGGCTCTGCTCTGATTATTTCAGGCTACTCCAGCGGTGATAAAGCTGGGCTGGGAAAGAGTGCTGGATGTTCAGCCGGGTTTTATACCGCTGACAGGCTTTGTAGACACTGCACGGGGTAATCCACAGGGCACTTAAACCTCCTGAAGTCACCCAAGCTCTTGGCCTAGGAGTGAGCCCTGGTGTGTAACACCTGGTGGCTGTGAGGAGCAGAGGTGGAAACCTCTTGCTGTTCTTTCTCCCGTTCCCTGACTGGATGCTTCTTTCTCTGTGACCTCTTTGTCCCCGCCGTGAGGGTTTTGTATTTACCACAGGGTTCCTTCCGAACAGGCTGAGGTTGTTCTGCTGCTGAGCAGCAGAAACACCAGAGCTGCCTTGCCGGCAGATTGAGGGACGCAGCTCGGTTCGCATTCGGGAGAGCTTCTTCTGAAATGTATAAGCTGGGAATTCGGAAATCACAGCAGAGAACTCAGGTATTTTGCACTAACAGCTTCCACGAGATTTCACGTCCTTGTATTCCTAGGGAAAGCTCTCGCTTCTCCCCTCTTGCAGATGTTTTCTCCAAAGCCTAGAGCCAACCCTTGACCTGCGGAGCAAGCAGTTTCTCCCCGTCCTCCTTGCTTCCTACTCCATAATCACAGACTGAAACTGCTTTATTTATACTGAAACAGGGACTGCTGTGTGCTGAGTGGACTGTGACCTCCTGCCTTCTTTCGTGTCGTAAAAATAGTTCTTGTGGTGCTCCCCGGGTCGGTCTCCTGTATTTTGGCGTGACCTGCTTATATATAAACCGGCTCTCCGCTGAATTCTCGGTCAAGATTTCCACAGCCATGGTAACTGCCACCAGGAGACATGCACAAAATAATTCTTCCTGCTATGTCTGTCGATCCCTTCTGCGTGTGCCTGCCCCGTCTGAACCGAGCGCGAGAGGCTAGCTGTCTGGGCGTGGGCGTGGGTTGTTTGTTCTTGAACGGCTTTATTATTCACCCGACCCCTAACTTAGCCCTTTACTACTGCTGCTTGGCTCGTGGGTCAGGAGGAACAAACATCTGCGCCCTAAGCCGAGGGCAAATTGCAGCCGCCGTCAATCTGAGCGCCGCAGTCACTTGCTCTCTCCGTGCCCTTTGCTTCTCAAACGCTGGGTGTGAGTTACCCGGTGCAGCAGGTCTCGGGCACGTTATCTCCACGCCGCAGATCTGTCACCTCTCTGTGATTTCGGGGGAGCCAACCTGCCTGGAGGAGAGGGTTTGGGGTGGCAGGGTGGCAGCTGGAGTCCCTCTTTCCCGAGACCCTAGCACGGGGTAAGTGGCAGACGTGTTTGTGAGCTAGCAGCATCGCCATGGGAACAGTCACTCTGAATTTTTATTTTTATTTTTTTGTCTTTTCAGATACTAAATTCTCTGTCTTAACGTTGCGTTACCGCGGTTGAGGGAGAGAGGGAAGGAACCAGGTGCTGGGGTATTGGTGTGACGGGAATAGCAAATGAATAAACGCCTTTATTTGAATGTGCAAGCTAAGGGTTGGGCATTCCGATGTCTGGAGGAAACACATTCTTTTCCCAGTGACCGGGGAGGGGGGAAAAAAGTAGGAGGCGAGATCGGGGAGGGCTTCCACAGCTGGAGACTCGCCGTGGGGGGAGGCAGTGGACTGTGCAGGCTTGGGTTCACGCATTCCAGTCAATTTTCACATGCTCTGGGGATGAGAGTCCCCTGCACCCTCTGGAGCTTGCGAAGTCTGAAATAGATGCCCAGGGGTGCCCAGGAGACGCTGCTGGGGGAAGCCTGGTGGGCTCTGTCTGGGTAACAGGAGGCTGGGGGCGGGGGGCGGCGCCTCCCCAAACCCATCTCGAGGCCGGCACCGGCGTAGGCTGTGCTGATCGTGAAGGTCTTCTGCTGACCCCGCTTTCTGCCACCCGTTTCAGATCTCTGTGAGCTTTGAAAGGCCGTCACCACGCGGCGGGGAGAGAAAGAAAGGGGAAGCGTAGTCCCAGAATGTGCAGCGTCAGGTCTGAGTGCGTAATCAGGAAGGCATTGCTTGGGTAAGACTGCTCGTAGCCTGGCTGGCTCTAGCAAAGAGAGAGGGGGTTTTTATTTTTTTTTTTATTTAGGGAGGCCAGCATTGCTTGGGGTGGGAGGGAAACCAGTTTTGGCACGAAGCTGGCATCCGAGGCAAGCAGTCCTCCTTCTCTCCTCTTTGCCCAAGCGTGTCTCCAGCAGGTAACTCACCTTCCTGCCTCTCACCCCTGACGCAGCTCCCTCTGAGGACCCGGTGGTACAAAAGGAGCTACGGCGTGGGCTGGGATCTCCCTGGGAGTGGGAAGAAGCTGGCACCGCATCTCCGCGCCGCTCCTGAGCACGGGGGGGGGGTTGGATTTGAGAGGCCGTGCTGGGCTGTGTGGGAGGCCAGCCTCGTGTTTTGCGTTGGAAGGGTGTTTGAGTGAGGAGCAGCGTCTTGGAGAAGCAGCAGCTCCCCGTCTGTTGTACGAGAGCTGAGAAACTGAGCTAAAACGGAGAGAGGAAGTGTGATGTGGTGTTGCAGGTTGGGCGCAGGTCACAGCTGTAACCCTGCCCCTGAACAGGCTCGCTCTGCGCACGCTCTCACCTCACTCGTGTTTCTTTTTCTCTTCTTGAGCTGTAGGGTGAGATTTTGGCCTGCTTCTTTGCGAGTTGGTCAACAATTGTCGAGCTTCTGAAATTGGAAAGTATTGATGTTAAATAACACTTCTCTGGTTCACAAAGGTGAAGTTTTTTTTTCCTAACTCCAACTTATTACTCCCTTTCTGGCTGTCTGATGTTACCTACAACTCCGTGGCTGTTGGTACACAAGGTCAGGCAAAATAACTAAATAAAAATGGAGATAGCTTAAGAATGCGTGCCTCTGAAAACTAAATAGAGAAATGGGATTTAGGAACTCCTTCTTCACCATCACCCAACATTTTAATCGAGGGTCTTGCAGCTGGGGCTGCAGGTGAAAGAAACCTACAGTGTTTGAGGTCTGTACCATAATTCAGGTAGCTTGACAGCCGTGACCCATGTTGGTGCTCCGGGCTCCTCGCAGATCTCAAATCTCGCTGAAATTGTTCTAAGTGGGCTGCATTGACCAGGTGTACCTGAGGAATCCCACTTCAGGGATACCACACCACAAGGCATTTATCGTTGCACATTTTAGTAATTAGATAACCTCCTTAGGTATTCTTCCTCTATCGTGCTGCTCGTTAAGGCGCTGGGTGCGTGTCTGGTGTACTTGTGAGCCACCCGCTTTGGTTTTGTGACGCAGCTCCTCGCCTCCAGTAGGCTTCCCTGGTTCCTGCCCCATGTATCCCTACTCTAAGGGCTAACCCCACGCTCCAGACAGGGAATCAACAATTACAGGCTGTCAGAGCTGCACTATGGATAAATTGAAGGCTGGCAAATTGCAGAATCCGGGTTGCCCTCACCACCTGTGCTTTCAGGCCCTGGATGTGTGTTGGGGCTCCATTTCCACAGGCTTCCCATCTCAGTCAGGACGGAGGTTGTTATCAAACATGGTGTAGTTTAATTTATTTGATATGTGAGGTGTGTAATCGCAGCCCTCTGAGGGCATGTGCAGCCCAGCCTTCAGCCAAATGCAAAACGGTGCCTCGCTTTTCCCTGCTTCCCCCCCAGCGTCTGACAGCCAGCCCTGTAGTTATCTTTGGCAGCAGCCTGATGAGATTAGGCAGCATTAGCCCCTCTAAAGTGGGCAACTTGCAGTGGTGCAGCCATTCCTGAACGCTCAGAGTAAGACAGTTTGGGGATCAGTGGGGCTTCCTTCTCCTCCACTTGGCCATAAGGTTTTTAAGCCGTTTCGTGCGCTTTGAACCTCCTTTGCTTCTGCAGCCTTCAGAAAAGTGGCTCAGGTAGGCTGGCAGAGCGAGGGGTGCCAGGAACACTGCACTGGCTTTCAGATGGGGCAGGTGGCAGCGTGTAGCTGACACCGAACCCACAGATTAATATGTAGGCTGCAGCAGCTTTTGGGACGTGGCACTGAATCCAGCAAGACGTGCTGTAGTAGGAGGCGAATGTCCTGGATGAACCTCTTCAGCCTTTCTTCTTGCCCTGTGTTCTCCATCGAGCCATGTTTTGCATCTTACCTGTTTAAGTTGTTCTCCAGAAGATGCAAAACACTTCCTCCAAAGTGGTTTGTATTTGGGAGGGAAGTAGGGCAACAGGGGCCAGAGCTTCTTGGGAAGGCATGTAGATGAATTCGTACGTACGCTGGGGAGCTGAGGGAAGTGTCACAAGTTAACCTGGCCAGGCTGCTGAGCTTCTCTGTCCACTGCATCCTGAGCAAATTTGTAACTTAAAATGGCTTGGCCATGACAAAAAAACAGTTCAATGTGAAATATTTTTGCTTGGGAAACAAAGTTCTGCACTTTATAAATACATATCTAAAAGCAGACCTTTATAATGACCTATTAAGGACAGTCCTTGCCCTGAGTAGAGTTGTCAGTGGTGCCAGTTACACGGTCATTCCCATTTGGAGGGGAACCTTTTTGTTCAAAGTATGCCTTCTTTTTTCCTCTTCCTCTTGAAAAATGCCACCGATCTGTCTCTGCACAGTATTACCTAACAATACTACCTGCTGGGCTTCTCTAAATTATGAGCACAGTTGTTTATCTCGAGAAGGGGTCACTAGTTCCTTGGTTTTGCCCTGTTTAAGGAGTATCAGCAGGTGAGCTGGAAGAGGTGTTTGAAAGGGTAGTCTGGGGCTTGCCTCTGTGAGCTTTGTCTCTCCGTGACAGTCTCTGCCATGACTAATCCCCGGGTTAGGTCTTGTCCTGGGTGGAGGAGCGTAAGTGCCCTTCCTCTGTGACGGGGAAGAGGAAGCAGCCAGAGCTGCTGCAGCACTTCTTGATGTTGGATTCTCGTGTGAATTAAGGCTTCTCCGCGGGAGGAAGGAGGCAGTCAGAGTAATTACCCCTTTCGGAGCGGGTTGTGCTGTAGCTGCAGTATGAACACCCCTGTAGGAATTTGTACTGGAATTTCTTCTGCCGATTTGTCTGTCCCTACAGACCCAACAAAGAAGAGAGAGATGTTGCTGGTTTGATTCTGTTTTCACCTCCAAACCTGTGTGATTGCCAAAGCAGTTCTGGTTGCCACTCACTCCTTGCCCCGTGTAACTTCTTCCCGCAGAACAAAGCCGTCGCGATGACCTGGAGAGCCTGGGCTACGTGCTCATGTATTTCAACCTGGGCTCACTGCCCTGGCAGGGCCTCAAGGCTGCCACCAAGCGCCAAAAGTACGAGAGGATCAGCGAGAAGAAGATGTCAACGCCCATTGAGGTGCTCTGCAAAGGGTACCCTTGTAAGTGCTCTGATCTCTGTGGCTGTCTTGTGTGGTGCATGGCTTGCTCTGCTGCTGAAACTCCCTGCAGCCTCGGGTGCTGAAGGGCACAGCCGGTAAGCCCAGACCCAGATGTGCTGCTGACACCAGTGAGGAGAAGCAAAAGAGACCCGGGATGATACATTTCTGGTTCAGACGTGAGAAATTTAGGAGTTTTAGCGGACAGATGAGCCTTGTTTTAGTAAGGGCATGAGGGTGCTGGGGAGGATCTTTGAGAACCTCAGAAGCAATCTGGAAAGGGGACGTGCAGTGAGGTGAGAAGGTGTGCACATGACCCCGAATTATCCTGGATGATAGGGATTAGGGCTGACCACGATGAATCCCAGAAATAACCAGGCAGCGGAGTGGCAAATGCAATCCTTTGTGGACAAATGTGGAGTCCTGTATGCGGGGGGAGAGTAGAAGTCCTCGTGGCACGTATGAAGCAGTGGGCTCTGAGGTGACAGGTGCTGCTCGGCGGGGAGCTGTTTGAGCTACAATAAATGCTTCTGTGAAAGCATCAGCTTCGCGCTGAGTGGCTACTGAGGAAGGTCAGTCAGGTGTCCACCAAATAAATCTGGCTCCTGCAGCCTCAAAACAAAATGATACGGTTCTTCACGCAGCCAGTAGTAGAGCTGTGGAGCTCCTTCCTTTCCAGAAGATTTAGCTGCCTACTTCTGGCCACTGGACTAAGGAGGACCTCTGGGGGAACAAACAGTGTCTAACAAGCAACTGTTCTCTGCTCTCCTCAGCTGAGTTCTCAACATACCTCAACTTCTGCCGCTCGCTGAGGTTTGATGACAAACCCGACTACTCCTACCTGCGGCAGCTCTTCCGCAACCTCTTCCACCGCCAGGGCTTCTCCTACGACTACGTCTTTGACTGGAACATGCTTAAATTTGTGAGTGTGTGTGTGGGGAAAGGACAGGAGGAGCACGGGTTGGTTTGTAGCATGGAGATAGGGGAGGGAAGTCAGGAACTGCCTGTCATTTGTATTTAAGCCTCGTGAGCAACTTGAGAAAGGGGACCAGGTGTAAAAAGAGGTAGAGCTGTGGTGCCGAGGGGTACAGCTGCTGTTCTGTCAGTGTGTCTGATGCAGCGTGTGTATCCCTCTTTCTGCCCAGGGAGCAGCCCGAAACCCCGAAGACATGGATCGGGAGCGGCGAGAGCACGAGCGAGAAGAGAGGATGGGGCAGCTGCGGGGGTCAGCCACGCGAGCACTGGCCCCTGGCCCACCCGCCGGAGCCACTGCCAACCGTCTCCGCAATGTCACAGAGCCCATGGCCTCCACCCCCACCTCCCGAATCCAGCAGTCTGGTGAGTGGGATGGGGGAGCTGCCCCCATTTATCGACCGGATGCTGGAGCCAGGCTGACGTTGTCGTCTCCGTGGTTCTCTGCCCCAACAGGAAACACGTCCCCCAGAGCAATCTCCAGAGTGGACAGGGAGAGGAAGGTCAGCATGAGGTTACACCGAGGAGCTCCCGCCAACGTCTCCTCATCCGACCTCACAGGGCGGCAAGAAGTGTCACGGATTTCAGCGTCACAGGTGAGCCCCCGCTGTGGTGTACGCGGCCTTGGCCTGGGTGCTCCACAAAGAGCGAGGGCCCTGCAGGCGCTTTTTGCTCGATTTGCTGGAGCTGATGTGAGTCGTGCCGTGAGTTCAGTTGTGCGTTTTCTGCAGGCCATGCTCAGTGCGGTGTTAGCTCTGGCTTTGCTCAGAGCGAGCCTTCACCTGGTTGTCTTCCAGACCACAGTGGTTTGGAGAAGTGGAACATCCCTTGGAAGGGATAATATCCTGAGAGAGGAGCTCAAGCTCTCTGTTTTTGTGTCCTTCTTGCCTTTTTCTTCCTCCATCCCTTACATATTCTTTCTCTTCTTTTGCAGACAAGTGTGCCATTTGATCACCTTGGGAAGTGAGGAGCAATTGCCACTGGACCAGTGTTTGCTTAGGTGAGCCTGTCCTCACGCCTGGGATCCCACAAGGAGGGAATTGCTGCCACTAGGGATTAGGTTAAAGCCTTGAAGTTACCGGGGGGGACTGGGGCCATTTCCTTTCCCCTTCACCTTACCGTAATTTAACGAATTAAATTAAAATGTGTTTTTGGCTTCGGAAGGATGTTTAAGGTTTGCTGCCAAAGCCTCGGGGATGAATTATCTTGGGCGTAAAAGCAGCTTCCATTTCTCCTGGAGGGTAGGGAGGGTGGAGAAGGTGCTGGGCTGGGGAGCCATTTTGTTAGTTCCTAATGAATGCTTTTCTGGCAGCGTGATGGTGGTGGGGAGGAGGGTGCTGAGCATGGATTAAGGGTGTGAAACTTTGCCCAGCAAGAGAGCATCTCTTCTGACTGGACAGGGTAACTCTGAGGGGTGGCCAGGGCTGTAGAAGATGATTTGGTTTATTATGCTCCAGTTGGTATTGGAATTGCTGGGAAGAGCCTTTTCTCCTAACTTTGTCTTCCTTTTTTTTCTCTTTTTTTTTTTTTTTTTAAATCTCTCTAGTGTCTTCACTGTATTTTTCTTTTAAAAAACAAAAAATCAAAAAAAAAAAACCTCAAACAAAAAAGTAAAAAAAAAAAAAAATCATTCAAAAAAAAAAAACAAACACAAGAAACGAACGATTTTTTTCTTTTTGCCAACGACGAGGAGTCAAGCTGTGCCCCCGTGCTGGCGCGAGCCGTTTCCGAGAGGGCCGCCTGCTGAGCACCTCCGAGGAGCTGACGACGCGGGAGCCGTGCAGAAACACCTCCGCTGCCCCCCCGGGCCATACCGTTGCCTACCCCGTACCCTCTCCTGATGATCTGCTCCTGGTTTTCTTTTTTTTTCCCCCTCTCCCCTTTGGGTATCTTCTGCTTCATTATTTTTTTTTTTTTAATCATTTTCAAGTCATATGGTTTCTAGCCATATACGTTTTAACTTTGCTCTCCTTTTTCTCCGAGGGCAGGGGGCGAGGGGCTTTGTTTGCTCTTCTTGTTTTGTTCTCTTCAGGCGCCTGGTGGGCTGGGAGGGAATCAGATCCCAGCCACGCTGGTTGGCAGAAATCTGATTTTTTTTTTTATTATAATAACAGAATTTATTTTCTCAAGCATTAAATTAATTTTAAGCTGTGAGGGGAACTGCGGCAATGGGCCTCATCGTTGACTCGGGCTTCCTTTCCTTGGGTGGCTTCTCTGCGTCTTTTTGGGCTGTCGGGAAGCGCCAGCCTGCCCTGCTCCGAGGGCTCTGGGTGTAGGGGCACCCGGCCACAGCGAGGATGGGGATGCAGGAGCTGGCGTGCAGGGAGATGCGAACCCACCTCCCATCCTGCAGCGGGGTCTGTCTTTTATTTTTATTATTTTTTCCGTCTGGCTGTGCGTGTTTTTCTATTATTTTTTTTTTTTTCGTATTTTAATTAAAAAAACTTGTTTTAATTCCCGCGGAGAGAGAGAGCGTGTGGGACTCGAGGAGACGAGAGGGGCACGCAGAAACTGGAGGGCGCGGCGTTGGTTCGGAGCGGTGCCTCTTGCTCTCCCCTTCCCTCTCGCAACCCCAAGTAAGATCCACCGGACGTGCACAACCCCTTCCTGCCCTCTCCCCCTTCCTTCCCTCTCCCCCCCCCACACACACTTTAGTTGTTTTTAAATTTAATTTAGGAAGCCTCAAGCTTGCTTCTGGGGCTTTGAAACACGAGGATCACCACTGCGACCTATGGCCTGTAGCAGACACACTGTCCCTGTAGTGTGGAGCCGATGGGTTGTTGGCAGGGCGGGGAGGGTGGGGTTAGTCTTTTTTTGTTTGTTTGTTTTTTATCCTTTCTATTTAACACTTTTATTATTTTCCTCCCTCGTTTGTTGTTTTTTCTTTTTTTTTTTTTTCCCTAATTTATTTACCCCTCTTACTGTCTCTCTTCTCTCTTTTTTTTTTTTTTATTAAAGAGCAAAACTTTTTATTACTTTGTAATTTAAAAAAAACAAACAAAAAAAAAAAACCTGAAGAACTTTGGGGGGGATTTTGTACTTTTTTCCTGTGTAAATATTGGACTTTTTTGAGCTTTATCGTGGTTGTTAATTTGAAGTAATAAAGTAGAAAATGATAAAGTGACGCCAGCATCCGTCATTTCTTCCTCCCTCGCGGCCCAACCTCTCTTCCCCGAGTTCCCGGAACGAGTTTGATCCCAATTCCTGGAAGAAAAAAAAAAAAAAGGCACCTAAAAATAAACTAGAGCTTCGGGATGAACGCGGGGCGCCGAGCCAGAGGCCAGGCGGGATCCCTCGCCTCATGGCCCCGAGCCCCTCACGGCCCCTCTATGGCCCTGGGGAGGGCAGGACGGGGTCCGGGGCAGCTCCACGTGAGAACAGCTGGGCCGTGAGATTCGGGATTTGCCATTTTTGCTTCATTCCCCCCAAAAAAACCACCGCTGAGGAAACGGAAGGAGAAGGGGGGGGCGAGGCGTGAGGTGCTCCCCGCCGCTAACACCTCGGAAAGGTGTGGGGCCGGCTTCTTTCTTTCACCGTTTCCTTATTTACGCGTTTAAACCTTTATTTATTTCTTTAAACCTTTATTTATTTATTTATTTATTCTTCTTTAAGCCCTACGCGGTTACGTCACCGCCCCGCTCCCTCCTCCCCTCACAGCGCGGCGCATGCGCGCCACAGCCGGGCCGGGCCGGGCCGGGGAGGGCCCCGGCGGCGCCATGGGCTCGTGAACCCCCCCCCCCGCCCCCCCCCTCCCTTCCCTTCCCTCCCCTCAGCGGGGCCGGGCCCCGCCGCAGGTAAGGGGGGGAGCGGCGCCGTGTGGGGCTGAAGGGATATAGGGGGGATTTGGGGGGAAAATAGGGGGCAGGGGGGGTTAAGGGGACCCTGTGCTGCCCCTAAGGGACAGGCAGCAGGGCGGGGGGGGGGTGCTGAGGCGCGCGTCCCGCTAACAAAGAGGTGGGGGCGCGGTGCAGGGGGGGTTAGGGGGCAGGGGTGGCTCCTGCACGGTGGGGTTGGGAGGGTTTGTGGTCCTGAAAGTTTGAGGTTTGTTGTTCTGAAGGTTTCGGGTTTGTCGTCCTCAAAGTTTCGGGTCTGTTCGTCCTCAAGCTTTTGGGTCTGTCGTCCCAAAGGTTTCGGGTCTGTCGTCCTAAAAGCTTCGTGTTTGTCATCCTCAAGGTTTCGTGTCTCTCATCCTCAAGGTTTCGAGTCTATCGTCCTAAACTTTTCGGGTCTGTCCTGAAAGTTTCAGGTTTGGCATCCTCAACGTTTCAGGTCTGTCATCCTAAAAGCTTTGTATTCCTTGTCCTAAAGGTTTTGGGTCTGTTGTCCCAAAAGTTTCAGGTTTGTCATCCTCAACGTTTCAGGTTTGTCATCTTCAAGATTTCAGGTCTGTCGTTCTAAAAGATTCGTATTTGTCATCCTCAAGCTTTTGGGTCTGTAGTCCTAAAGGTTTTGTGTCTCTCATCCTAAAGGTTTCAGGTCTGTTGTCCTAAAGGTTTCAGATTTGTTGTCCTAAAGGTTTCAGGTCCGTCATCCTAAACGTTTCGGGTCTGTCGTCCTAAAAGTTTAAGGTTTGTCATCCTTAAGGTTTCAGGTGTGTCATCCTGAAAGCTTTGTATTTGTTGTCCTAAAGGTTTCGTGTCTCTCATCCTAAAGGTTTCAGGTCTATCGTCCTCAAGGTTTCAGATTTGTCATCCTAAAGGTTTCAGGTCTATCATCCTAAACGTTTTGGGTCTGTCGTCCTAAAAGTTTCAGGTTTGTCATCTACAAGATTTCAGGTGTGTTGTCCTAAAAGCTTCATGTTTGTCACTCTCAAGCTTTTGGGTCCGTCGTAAAGGTTTCAGGTCTGTCGTCCTAAAGGTTTCAGGTTTGGAGTCCTAAAGGTTTTGCGTCTCTCATCCTAAAGGTTTCAGGTTTGTCATTCTAAAAGCTCAAGGTACGTCATCCTAAAGGTTTTGGGTCTGTCATCCTAAAAGTTTCAGGTTTGATGTCCTAAAGGTTTCAGGTTTGTCATCTTAAAGGTTTCTATGCGTGCAGTAGTTTGAGGAAAAGCAACCTCATGCTTTTGGGATGCTGGCGAAAAACTAAGCAAGAGGGCTCAGAGGAGAGGCTTTGGTGATGTGAAGGCATTCCGCAGCGGCCTACTTTGGGGCTTTTTGCACCATTGTCAAATGGGTACAAAAATCCCCGAAGAGAAGCAGGCTGTGTGTCCTCTCCGGTCTAGCAGAGCGGTGTTTAAATCCTTAATACCTTTGTTGTTCCAGACGTACCCTAAACCCTAAGCGGCGTGTGCGCAGCAGGTGGCTGCCTACACCTGCAGCAGAAGCCGTGTCCGGCCGCGAAAGGATGGGGACCAGTTCCTGGGCCCCTAAAATCAGCTCGGATTTCGCAGTGTTTGGGAAATGGGGTGCAAGGGGCGGAGCTGGGGCATCCTTTGTGCTTCATGGTGTTCGGCCGCCTTGGGACACGTGGCAGCTAGAAGGGGAAGGACTCTCAGGCATGCAGAGGCTGCTCAGAAATCAGATTTTGGCTGGTTTGGCATGGGGACAGCACTCTGAGCTGGCTTGTTCCTGAAGATTTCCCAGGCTCTCGCTAGGAATCTGCCTGGTTCCCTGTCAGCTCGCTTGCCTGTTAACGGGTGGGAGGCTGGGAGATGAGCTCTTGGGATTTGCGGTTGAGGGATTAAGATTTCTGGTCTTCACGTGGAATAAAGGAAGGGTGTGTTCTTTTTCCGACTTATAATGAAACAACTTTTGAAACGCTTCTTTTCCTCAGATATCAGTTCCCTTCTCTGTCCGGTTGTGAACGCTTCTCACCCCGTTCTGACTTCAGCCAACAACCTCTCCGTTTCTCTGGGGTGGATCTTCCCCTTCATCCCTCCTCCCCTCCCGTTTGGGGTCTGTATTTAATTGGCTTACGTTTGCAGCAATGAGCTCCTGTCCTCTCGCAGTTTCCAGCAGCACAGGGGGCATCCCTGAGCTCCTGCAGCAGAGCCTGGAGGAGCAGCAAATTTTTGGCAGCCCTTTAAAATTCTTCGGTCCTAGCTTCTTGCAGAGCCCAGCGTCACATCGGATGCTGAAGGCGGTTTGAAACTGATAAGATAGTTTCCTCCGAGGAGTTTTTACCCGTGATGGTATCAGTGAACTGTCCGGGAACAGAACAAACCGTCCGGGGAAAATTGGGCAGGCTGCAGCTGGGTGTGCCCAGGCCTTTACAGCCCCCGCGGGGCCCAATTTGCAGGAAACTTGTAGGAGGAGATACCTCACGTGCTCTACCTGCAGCACCGAGTGTCGTTTAACCCGCGGAGTGCCCGGATATTTGGCTTCTCCTCTTCGATGTGGGTCACCAAACCCCTAAAAAAAAAGAAGTAGAAAAGAGGAGGAGGAGGATGGGGAGGGGAGGAGGGCCGTGCGGGTACAGCAAGACAACAGAAATTAATAGAGCAGAAAAAAAACTCTGGGAAGAAGAGGGCACAGCTCAGGGTGAAGGGGTTTTGCTGCTGATTGGGAGGTGGGAAATGGGTGCTGGGGGGGGAAGCAGCTCGCTGTCGGGGATGGGGGCCGTGCGCAGGATTGCTGTGGGGCTCTCTGGGGTTCTCTGTCTTGTAGCTAACTCAAGTAGATGCCACCCCGGAGAGCGAAAGCGATTTAAGAAGTAATCAATTTAAAAGCGTTTGATTTGCTTTTATTGTTATCGCCGATTTGATCTGCACCAGGGGCTCTCTGGTGTTATTTTGTCCTGATGCTCTCCCTCCTCCTTTTCCCACCTTCTGCCAGATCAGCTGGTTGTGCTGTGCCTGTGGGGGCTGAAAAGAATTTAAGGCAATTGCAAATTTGCCCTACACACCTAGCACAACGGGAGGAGCTGACCCCAGTTGGCCGTTGTAGGCATTCTGATAATTAAAATAGCCTAAAACGAACTCGGAACCATTTTGGCCTGTGTTCCTGTACTCCCTACAAGTTTAGGGGACACTCTGAAAACCGTAAAGCTTTCCCTAATGTAAAGCTCTTACTTCGCTGTGTCTTGTCTTAATAAAGGCAGAAAATCCAGGCTTTTGGGCACCCGCATCTAGTGGCATCTTGACCAAAACCAAATTAAGCACGATGGCTGCTTGAAACCTGTGGTAAGTACGGAGCTGGTCTCAAAGAGGAGCAGCTCCTCGCCTCGTGGGTTTTCCCTGCGGCCAGGCCGTGTTTGTTTTCCCCGATGGTCCCTTGTGCAGCAGCAGGAGGCTTAGCTGCTAAGGCTCTTTCCCGGGATAGCTTTGCGCATCGTTCTTTGCTCTCTCAGCAGTTTGGAAGCGCAATGCTTTCAGCCTCGGAGGAGATGAGCTATTTTAAAAGCGCAGATTGCGTTTGCAGATGGCAGAGAGCGGCTCCGGAGCGGGGTCGTTCCCCGTTCTCTCCCTCCCGACACGGGCGAGGGTCTCGCCCGGAGCAGGGGCACTGAGTTTGGGTGCTCCTTCCCTCCTCCTGCACCGCTTTTGTTGCCTCAGAAGCGGGCTGGGAGTGTTTATGTTTGTTGATCCTTATGTAGAACGAGCTCCTCCTCGCCGGGAACATTTTCCCTTGCGCTGACACAGGCCAAAAACGAAGCTTTTCGTTTTCGCCTCTGCCAGCTCCCTTCTGTTTACTGCTCCGAGTTTATTTGCAGCGGGAGAAGCTGCCGCGGCCGGGCTGGAGACAGAAGGGCCTCTGTTTCCAAAAGACACCGGGCTGGCAATCTGTTCCTGACGGAGAATGCCTGCGCTGCTGTTCTCCCCGGGTTGCGGGCCGTATGGAGGTGCCCTGGTGATCCTACGGCGGAGCTGGAGCCCCGAGGATCTCAGCTGAGGCCTTTTGCATCTCTGGGATGCTGTCGGGATCGCGACAGCACCGAGGCAGGAGCGCTAACAGGACGGGGACATCACCGCAGCCTTCACCTTGGCTACCTGAAACTCACGTGGCCCCTGCAGAGAAATCCCACGGGATGTGACAGCAGAGCAAGGAGCTCTTCAAAAAAAAGTTGGGGGGCTGCAGAGCTGTGGTAGGAAAGGGGAGAAAGGAGAAAATCGAGGAGAACGTGGGAGCTTCGAAGGCTTGGAGCTTTTCCATGGGGATAAAAGGAAGCGGGGCGGTTGTAGGAGGCAGATGTCGAGCGCACGAGTTGGTTAGGACCAGCTGCAGGTCCCGAGCGTGGCAACAAATATCCAAAAACCGTTTTATATCCTATAAAACCTTTGCTGGGGCAGGTAGGAGGGGAGCTGCCCGCGCCGGGGTGCTCGCTCTGGAGCTCGTCAGGGTTTGCTCGCAGGCACCACCTTTTCTGGAAGCCTGCTCTGGCGATGTGCTGGGCTCGCGGCCCGTTGCACGGAGGGGACGAGGCAGCTCGGAAACAAGATGTTCAGACGCTTGCTGTGCCCTGCCCTCACCACGCTCTCGTCTGCCAAAGGCGAAAGAGGAGGCAGCAGAGGCTGAGTTGGTGGTAGGGGATAAGTCTCAGGTGATAAAAGTTGTCCTCAGGCAACTCGAAGGAACAGGGGATGCTCACGGATGGGGCAGATGGAGGTTTTAGGGTCGGGAGGGAGAAGTAGAGCCCCTTTTAAGGAAGTTTGCCCGTTTTGTTTCGAGTCACAGTGGTGGAATGAGTTCTGCCTTGCCAGGGCTGTGTGAATCAAAGGGGATTAAGCGACGAACGAGGCATCAGCGCTTAATTAAAGGCAGTTGATCTATAATCACAAGGGGGCAGTGTTAAGGTGACATATACCACTCCAACTCCTCAACGTCCTGGCTTCTGAATGCTTCACCCTTGTGTCAGCAGGCCTGCTGGGCGCTTTGTGCTGCTTCGGCTTCTTACAAAAGAGAGAGGTGCGGAGGAGCAGAGGAATTCCCCATCGGTGCCGCGCTTGGCTCTGCGCTGTCGGTGAGGTTTGAGCAGCTGAGGTAGAAATCCTGTGCTTCCCAAAGCAGGAAAAGCCTTCCTGACATCTCCAGGCAGCCCTCGTCTCTCCAGGCTTTCAGATTTAGCGTGGATTGTGAGTGTGTATGCTTTGAAACTCCAAATTTATCAGTTACGTTTCCTGCGCCGGTTAGCACTGGAAAGGAATTACCCTTTGGTATGTGCAGTACCAAAGCTGTAACTCAGAGCAGGAATATTTTGGAAAAAACAAGGAATGGCTGGAAAGAGCTAAGAAAGGCCAAGTTTGACAATGATTTTACGAATTAAACCGTAGAGTTGTGCAGCTCCCCCTGTAGTAAGCGAACACCCGCTTGAACAAACCCAGGTCTTTTCCTTTTCCTTTTCCTTTTCCTTTTCCTTTTCCTTTTCCTTTTCCTTTTCCTTTTCCTTTTCCTTTTCCTTTTCCTTTTCCTTTTCCTTTTCCTTTTCCTTTTCCTTTTCCTTTTCCTTTTCCTTTTCCTTTTCCTTTTCCTTTTCCTTTTCCTTTTCCTTTTCCTTTTCCTTTCCCAGAAAGGAGGCAGGAGGTGGTGTAGGTGACATCGGAGGGCTGCGTGGCGCTCCTGCAAGCCTGTGGTTTGGGGGAAGTGTTGAGAGGCTGCTTGCACACCGTAGCGTGCGCGTGGAAGCGATTTCTTCGCTCCAGGCCTTTGGATTTGTTTCTGGAGCAGCATCAGGAGCAGCTCGTGTAGCTTGCAGAGGCCCCGGCTGGCTGCTTGTGATCTTGGTTTAAGTGGATTATCTCCTTCCAACCCAGAGGTCACATTAGAGCCTCCTTACGACCGAACGGAAAATAATAGCTGCTTTAGATCTTGGGCCTTTTAAGAATTCTCCCCGCTGAATGAAACCGAGCTTTTCATCCGGGAAATGACCGAGGGTAACGCCACTTGGAGACCTCGCGTATCCGTGTGCTCTGGGTGCGCTGTCCTGGGTCAGCTGGCTTTGAAACACCAATCGGGTTAAATTTGCATCACGCAGAAAAGGGAGCTGAGTTAGGAGAGGTGGGGAGAGGCTGCCTAAGGCCGCCGTGCCATATGGTGTTTGATAAAAGCCTGGCTTTGAGGCTCCTCTGTGCAGCGTGGTGAGCTTTCGGCACGCGTGCTGCCGATGCAGGCGCTTCGGGCTGAGTGCTGTTCCTCCTCCAGGTCCTGAGCAGCCTGCTGGTGCAAAGTTCCGCTCCCTTTATCCTCCCGAGTCCTTTCCACTGAGTGCTGTTGCTTTTTCTTTCTCTTCCCTGGCAGCTCTCGGCTCCTGGGCGGCTCTTCGGCAACCCCAGGCGGAGCCTGGCACCGCGAGGCACCACGATGATGATGACCGATGTCACTGCAGCCCCCCGGCTGGGGTCAGCTGCCACCACTCCGGCCGTGGCCCCCAACTTCTCCTGGCTGCCAGAAGACGGCAGCCCCACAGCCGTGGAGCAGCCCATTTTCCTCATGACCACCGCTGCTCAGGCCATCTCAGGTTTCTTTGTCTGGACAGCTTTGCTCATCACCTGCCACCAGGTAAAAACCCCGTCGGTCACACTTCTGCTCCTCTGCCTTCCCCCACGGGGAGGAACACCTCTGGTGCCCTGGCAGATCTCTGTTGGATATTTAGGTCTGAGGAGGGGTTGCAGACTCTGCAGTGGCACAAGGACCTTTTTTGGGGGGATCTAATATATTATCTGTGCTGATTGAGGTGACAGCTTTTGTATCAACCTTTTTTCTGACTGGAGAGGAAGCAAACTGGGTACAGCTAGCAGGTAGAAACCATTTGGCCCTCGGTGGAGTGTTAGCAGAAAGGTGCATCACCATCACCTCAAGCTGTCCTTTCCCAGGTCCCCTCCCTGTACCTAGCCATTTTGCTCCCCTGGCAGCTGCTAGCTAAACGATCGTGATCATCTGCTGCTTGACATCCCTCCTTTGATCTCCTGTGCCAGTGGATTCCACGGGCTGAGCTCCGCTGCGGAAAAGAGCAGCAGGAAACACTCGATTTTAATTTCTCTCCCCTCCCCTCTCTCTGGGGCAGGCGCCCTGGGAGCCAGAACGAGGCAAACGCATCCGGTGCTGCACCGCTCTCCCGTGCGGTCGTCATGTGAACTGAAAAATATGGTGGGGAAACACAAATAACCCTGTCATTTATCAACCTGGGCTTCGTACCTGTGGGTCAACAGCTGCCAGAGCGATGACTGGCACCTGGAAAACCACAGCCTGGTGAGGGGAGGACAGGGGGGAGCGAAGTTCAAAACCGGATTAGTCACCGATGAGTAAGAGCAACACCTGCAGTTTCACCAGCTGGGGTAACAATGACAAGTGGCATGGATCCTCCGGTGGCAGAGCACGGATTGATCACCTGCTGAGGGTGGGGAGAAGCCTTTCCTCTGCTGTGTAGCACGTCTAGTTAGGCGTTAGTGCCCTTCTCTGGACAAACCAATGGAGGACAGTGCTGGGGAGACACCGTTGATTCAAACAAGCTGTTGTCCTGCTGGGAGAGAGTAGTTCCTGCCTGAAGTGCTCTCGTAGGCACGTGGATTGCAGGGCTCTTGTGACATCCCAAGGGCAAAGCTCGGAGTCATCTGAACCCCGGCGTCAGCTGCGCTGGGTGAGGTGTTTCACTGGGATTGTCGCAGCAGGAAAAATATCACGAAGGTTCGTTAGGTTGTTTTCAACCCCTTCTTGCCAGGAAATGAGACTTTTGTGAGCTCCTTGCGGGCTAGGAGGGAGAAAGAGAAGTGTTTTGAGCCCTTTGACCAAACCTGGCCAAGAGGCAGGAGAGAGATGAAGAGGAGATAACCCCACCTGAGAGCATCGGCGTGTGCTTTATGAGAGTCTGGGGAGTCTACACAGCACCCACCCCCCCCAAATGCAGGGTGAAGCTTCAAACGAGCACTTGTGCCACTTCACACAGTCAGTCACGAGGCGCGTGTGTAATGAAGGAGGTGCTTTTAATTCCAGCAGCCAGGGCAGCAGCTCGGTTAGGGAAGGTCTGGCTTCTGGAGGACGCGGCCGATCGAGCGTCCCTGCGAGCCCAGCCGGGGCCCTCGCTCTGCTATTAGCCCATTGCAGCGGCGCTGCTCATCTCCGGGGCGTGCTGGCAGTAAATAACTTCCCCACGAGGTGGATGTTCTGTGAAAAACGCGGCTGAGGTGTGGGATTTAATGATGGCCAACAAACCCTGAGCAGAGGGAGTGGGTGAGCGGACAGCTGGCCGAGGCAAGCGGCTCCTTTGAGCGCAGCCCAGCGCCCGAGCACGCTGCTCCCGTGGTGGCTGAGGCGTTGTGGCCACGCTGTCACAGACGTGCAGGGTGGCACTTCTGGAGCAGGTGGCGCTGCCGTGGGAAGCGCTCTCAGGTTGGTTAAGGTGAGAGCCTCAAAAACATCCACACAAACTGCCCGGAGAGTGAGCGTGCGCCCCAAAGCGTGCTCCCACGCCGCTGAGGGAAAGGAGCCTGCAGTGTTGTGCGTCTGAGCTGCCTAACGAGGGCAGCAGGCACCTGGGGTTGGTCATGGGGAAAAATGAACAAAAGAAGAAGGGGAAGGTGGTGATAATATCAGCACACTAACTCCCCGCGAGGAACTAGATGATAAATGCCTTCATTTCCTTTTCCTCCTCTTCCCCTCGCTCTGCAAACCAAGGGATGCCCTGGGGATGCCCGAAGATAACAGTGATTCTCTGGTGCTTATCACCTTGAGGTTGCCAGAGACAATCAGGAGCTGATTTTTGTTTGCTCCCACTCCGGTTGCCTCTTCAGTTCTGCTTTCTCCTCTCTTCTCAGCATGCAGCTTGACCCTCTTTTCCCCTCTCATTCCCCTCAGATCTACATGCACCTGCGCTGCTACAGCTGCCCGAACGAGCAGCGCTACATCGTTCGGATCCTCTTCATCGTGCCCATCTACGCCTTTGACTCGTGGCTCAGCCTCCTCTTCTTCACCAACGACCAGTACTACGTTTACTTCGGCACGGTGCGGGACTGCTACGAAGGTAAGCAGGGCTCAGGTGGAAAGCAACCAGCGACTCCAGCAACCAGGTTTGTGCAAAAGCAGCAACACTTGACACAAATCTTTTTTATTGTATGGATGTCATGAGCACATTTGGTGCGTACAGATCAGGAGAGCAGTTGTTGTGCTGGTGCAGTTAGCTTCGATAATCACCTCTAGTTTCTTTCGGGGACGGAGGGACAGATACTTCCCTCTCACCTCTGTTTGTTGTTTTTTTGTTGTTTACTTCCTCTGATGTCATCTCTTTCCTAGAGACTATGGCATGGGCAGCTGCTATTGTAATGACCACATCAGAGGGCAGGGGTCACTGGAGGATAATGAGAAAAGCTGGGCTTTTCTTCCTGTGGATGCTGGGAGCTGCCACCTGAGTTGCAGACAAATTGCAGGCCAAAGAGGTTACCACAGTTATTTAAATAAATTTTCCATCTTTGGTGTTTTCTTTCCTAATGAAGGCTTTCGCAAAATCAGCGCGGACGTGAACGTGCTGAACTCTGGTCAGCAATAAAGATTACAGATGGAATAACGATTTCCCAGTTCCATGAGGAGAGGCAGCTATACCCCAGGCTTTTATGTGCGGTGGCATTTTTGCCAGCTAGGCACATCCAGGAGCCATTCGTGCGGTGTTTTGAGACTGAGCATTTTGGGGAGCGTTGGGTACCTGTTTTCTAGGGCATAGTTGGGATGCTTGTGGAACAAATTAGAGTCGCTGCCTGCCTCTGACTGTGGGATTTCATCCGTGTGGGAAAACAGACCTCAGGTCTAATAGCTGGCTACTCGCTGAGGTCAGGTTGCCAGCATTGTTGGGCTTTTGGTCTCGTTCCAAAGTTCCTTGACACTTCTGTTTCCATCCCGAGTTGTTTTCTTTTTGTATTGTGTCCGTGTCAGGGGCCAAAACTAGGATCTGGGTAATGACATTCCAGGGAATGTCCAGGGGTGGAGCATCACAGAAAATAAAGTCGAAAGAGGGGTTACCTGAGCTGACATTTTGCTCCGTGGTTGTATGTGGCAAACTGAGGAGTGAAGGTCCTTGGTTGAGAGAGTGGCAGACAGGTCATGTCCCATGAGAAGGAAACACCTATAATTATGATCAGAGCCCTCCCCACGGGGCCTTCACCTCTTTTTACGTGTATCAGCACAACGGGGCCGTGGAGAGAGCTGCAGTGGGGCAGAGTATTGGTGGTCAGTCCCAGAAGGCTCTTCCTTATCTGCACCAAGCTGCTGGGGAAGGCAGCAAAGAGGTGGCCCAACAAGAGAGCTGTTCAGGGCGCAGGAGATTTGATCTTTCAGAGGAAATGAAGCACAGAGCCTGTTTGTTCAGAAAGCTCCGCCAGGCACGAAAACAGAGTTCCACTGATTGGTAAAAACGCTTCTCCAACTCTTCTCTCTACAATCCAGTCACCTCAGAGAGAGGGGGAGACTGTGCTCATCACTTCAGAGGGTGAAACCAGGAGATAAGATGTGGTTGATGGCTCAGAAATAACTTTTCCGTATGATTTAGTACCCGTGTAATGTCCTGGAATAATGCACAGGAACTCGGTAAAGAATGGCACCTGACAGATGCCAAGTAAAACAGAGGCTGACCAGCAGTGCGAAATGGTCCTGTGACCCTTTTGGCATCAGCTGGGGAACCGGCCTGGGACCTTGGCCAAACTCCAGCTCAGATAGTCTTGTAAATGCTGAGGTAGGAAGATAAATACAGCGAAAACAATCTGGAGGGCTTTGAAAGGAAAGATGCTGCCTAAGCAGTCCCCGCTAATGCTTGGGTTGTTGCCTGCTCTCTCGGTCCTGGCACCTGTTTTGAAGTCGGTTGTCATTTTGCTCTGATTGATGTCTTTGCAGCCTTTGTAATATACAACTTTCTCAGCCTCTGCTATGAGTACTTGGGAGGGGAGAGCTCCATCATGTCTGAGATCAGAGGGAAACCAATCGAGTGAGTATTTGTCCTGCTTACAGCGTGATGCTCTCATCCTTCCGTGCCCATCTGCCGTGCCTCCATCCCTGTCCTGTCTCTAAAAAAGTGTGTCAGGTGGCAAACGTCTGCTGGGACTGGGCAGGATGGCTCGTGGTGATTTACCAATATCCTGCCCTGAGACAGATCAGGCTGATCATGGTCTCTTGGGCAAGCTGGATTGATTCACAGCTCTTCTGAACACCTGCCTACACCTTTGTTTCTTTTCTTCCATGCTTCTCCTTCGAATCTTTCCTGTCTGCAGTCGGTTTTGCATGGTTTTCTCCCCATGCTACTCAGTTAAAAAAAAAAAGGAGAACAGGAATCTTGTGCTCTAGCCCAAATCTTACTCTGACCCCTGTCATCTTGTGGTGGTTCTTTCAGGTCCAGCTGCATGTATGGGACTTGCTGCCTGTGGGGAAAGACCTATTCCATCGGATTCCTGAGGTTCTGCAAACAGGTATGGGCTGCAGCAGCTGTGCCATCCTCCAGAACCGAATGAAGTCCGTGGCAGGGGTGGCAACGTTGCCTTTTGCTGCTGAACTTCTGAGATGTCCACGCCTTTTAGTGGGTTTATAATATCATTTTGAGGGAGGCCTGTGGACTGCGGAGAGGCTTTTCTTGTTTTGGTTTGTGTGTGTGTGTGTTTTTCTTTTCCTTTTTTCTTTTTTTAATGGCGTTAACATTTTCTACTTGACCCCATTAGCCCTGGGACCTGACATTTAGCTCTGGGACCTGACATTAGCCCTGGGAAGCCACTCAGATTTTTTTTTTCTTCCCTTTCTGCATCGCAGAGGTCCTGACTGTAAGAAACGGGTGGCCGGGTTGCGTTGCAGACACCCACCGGTTGTGTAACAGCCTCCTGAATTCCCACTGCTGCCGCTGTGGTTAGAGTTGAGGAGTGGGTGGAGGTTAAGCGTGACACAAGGCTTTGTAGGAGGAAACGGGTATTGCTCACCGTGCGTGTGTGTGTGTCTGTGGATGTGGATGGGGAGGGAACGAGAGATCGAAACCTCGATACAGCCTTCGTCTGCTCATCCCCGGAGTTCGGGTCAGTCACCTCTGGCTGCCATGAAGCAGCAGGTGGGTTTCAAGGCTCTGCTCCCGGGCTGAAATGAACACAGGAGGCTTCTCTGGAGACAGCGGGAAGCCAGGCTGGTTCTTTGAAAGGGTTCAGGTCACTGTAATTCCTGCCCTGGCTTCTCCTCCACATCATGCCCCATCTTCTGTGGTTTAGCAACATGCAGGAACATCAAAAGTGCAAAGCAGCCTCTGAGTAATATCCCGTGTTAATCCCTGCAGCGTGGTTGGCCTTTCTCAAAATAACACATCTTTTCCTCTGCTCTGTTCATCTGTCCTGTGTTCTGCCCTCATGGCTTTCCCGTTTTCTTCCATGAAACTTTATTCCTAAACTGCTCCCTGTATGCCATCTGTCCTCTTTCTCTTGGGGTTCATTTGTGCTCCCATATTTGATGCCATGCACTACCTATTCTTTTTGCTCCTAATTTTAACGTTTTACCTTTTAACTGTGTCACGAGCAGACCTAACACCCCTCGAGGTGAATGAGTGCTGGAGAGAGAATTTCCCTTAGACCTCTTATTTCTCATGTCCTCTGGCAAGTATCTCCACATCATGGCTTGCATGCGGTTGTGTTTGGGAAGTTTTTTATTGTTTTTTTTTTCTTCACAACAATGAGAACTAGAAGCACTTTCCGGGGGGATTTTGCTGGCTTCTGCAAATTTCAAGCTCATTTGGCAACTCTGCCTTAGGTGGACATTTTTTTTGCTTTTGCTTTTGCTTTGCTGCTGTCCGGCAGCAGCGCTGCTCACCGGCCTGCCCGAGCTCCTGCGGCAGCCGCGGCATGCCGGTGGCTGCGCTGTGCCATCTGCACAGCTCGTTTCCTTCAGGTTGTCTCCTGTCGAGGTTCTTTCTGGGTCCGTGTCTGGTGACCCCCGTGGGTCACACACCATCCATGTGCTTCCCGTATGCCGGAGCATCTTCTGGGGAAGCGCCTAAAAATAGCAGGCGGCGGTTTGGGTTGCGGAGAAATGGTTAAACCAGCCCCGGATTGGAAGGAGGGGAAGCTCGGAGGACGGGGTTGTTTACCAATTAGCCTGACCTTTTCCAGTTCACATCTTCAGAGTGACTCACAAACTGGCATGTGCTGGGGTTTTTAATCTCCTTGAAGTCTTATGACCACTAACAAACTGCGTCGGATCCAAAGCAATTATTCCCCTTCGGTTTTGCTTTCTTTCCATGCGCAGCCCTCCCCGCGTGTGCAGGTCAGCACCTGCCCAGGCTCTTGCAGTCTTCTTTGGGGAGGCACGGTGACGTTTTTAGGGTCACGGTCTTCTGCTCTTTTAGGGCCTTGGCATTCAGCTTTCCCTCTTGGAGAAGAAATGAAGCGTGGGGTGGCTTTGGGAGAGAAGTCCTGATAGGAGCCGTGATGTGTACCTGTAGAGCCTGCTGCCAGATCAGACAGAGCTGATCCCAAGTGCTGCAGAGTCTTTGGGGAGACTCAGTAAAGGCGTGGGGGTGACAACAGAGCAGCTGTAACTTCTTTCTGGCCAGACAGTGTACACAAAATGCCTTAACGTGGGGGCTGATGTCACAGTTCCTCCTCAGAGAGCTGGGTTTCACCTCCTTAACCCCGGGGGCCTTCGTAACCCACCTAGCTTTATGGCAACACCAGATTGGGGTGTGCTTCCCTTCCCAGTATTGCTTTGTGTTGAGTGCATCCCCCTCCATACCATGGCACAGCACGGGATTGTTTTCATGCAGTTACGGGGCATAAACGTGCCCATAATTCCTCTGAATCTCCTCTCTCCTGGTGGGTGCTTGCACGGCAAGTGAACACTGATGTGCACTGGGGGGTTTGCTTGGGACCTTGGCCTCTTGCACCCGCTGCCTTCTCACTCCTCCTCTCTCCTTCCCGCAGGCTACCCTGCAGTTCTGTGTGGTGAAGCCCCTCATGGCCATCAGCACCGTCATCCTTCAGGCCTTCGGCAAGTACCAGGACGGTGACTTTGAGTAAGTTTGTAAGTTTGCTTTCCCCTTCCCTGCTGTGCTTGCAGCCTCTGGAGGTGCCGGGCCATGGGAAAAGACATTTATGCTCGTGGGCTGAATGTGTACATGAGAAAAGGGGAAAAACTGTTGGCTTTGGTTTTATTCTGCCCTAGTTTGGGGGAGAAAGGGGAAGGGCAAGGGGAAAGGATCGTACTGAGCTTTTCAGGTGTTCACATCTTTTCTCTCCTCAGTGTAACCAGTGGCTACCTCTACGTGACGATCATCTACAACATCTCCGTCAGCCTGGCGCTCTATGCCCTCTTCCTCTTCTACTTCGCCACACGAGAGCTGCTCAGTCCCTACAGCCCGGTCCTCAAGTTCTTCATGGTGAAGTCTGTCATCTTCCTGTCCTTCTGGCAAGGTGAGCTGCTTTCCCCACAGCCACAGAGAGCTCTGCGCAGGGGCTCAGACACTCGAATTCATGGAACAGATGATTAATGGCTAGAACGCCATTCTGTTTGTTTATTTATTTATTATTATTGGATTTGTATTATACTCTTTTGTTGCTTTTCTCAAGGAGAGCTGGTTGGCTTGTTTTCCTCTGTCTTTCTGTGCTCCTGAGCCCTCGCTGTTCCTCCACGTGCACGTGCGCACACATCTCTGGCAAAGCCAGCTGCTTGGCTGAAGGGCCCTTTGCATTCCTGAAGCAATCGTAAAGCACAAGCTGCCAAGGTTTTATCTGCGTGCTGCCATTTGATTGATTAAAATGACACGTTTCAATTATTATTTTCTTTTAATGCAGTATAAACAAAATTGCAGTGCCTTGTCTGTGACTCCTGCGAAGCAGCAAGCCCACAGGAACCCCACCAAGCACTGGTGTTCGTGAGGGACGCTCAGAATGCACACGCGGCGTGACGCAGGCGCGTTCAGAAAGCCTAAATTCCCCCTCAGCTTAGTGCCTCTTACTAATTGGCGCCCAGCATTTCCCTGTTCGCTGCCCTACTTAAGTTTACCGAGTTGCACTTCAAAGACTTAATTGGGTAGGAACTTAGGTGGAATTTAGGCTGTTGGAGTAGGGCCCGTCCTCCCCGCGTACAGACAGACTAATAAGCTGTCTACTTTTTCATCCCGAGCCATCTGGTCACACGCTTTCTGCCTTCTCTGGAATTCTTCAGCCAGCCACCTGGTTATGGAGAGGGAAAAATACCTTTCTTACAGTTTCGTGTCACAAACAGCTTATGCTTAAAGAGAAAAGCTCAGTTACCTCTTTTTTTTTTTTTAGCTTTAGTTAGTGGAGGTGCTGAGATAAGCCACGGAAATTTCTGACTGCTTTGTGTGCTTCAGGGCTGAAGGCCTGTAGCAGCTCGTTCCCCAGAATAGTTCAGCTGAGGATAGAAGGGATCAGCGTTTGAACATTCTTTGCGTAAACACATCTATTTCCTTTATTCCTCCTTTATTTTGCTGTAGAGGTGAGCTCGCTCTGCTCGTGATTCCTGTGTTAAATGGATTTGCATTCCTAGAGCTGTTTCCATGCCTCCCCATTGCCGTGCGGTCCTGCTTTTTCACACGTTGACGTGAGCTCCTTGCCTCCTTTAGGGATGCTCTTGGCCATCTTGGAGAAGTGTGGCGCCATCCCCAAAATCCACTCGGCCAACGTCTCCGTGGGTGAGGGCACGGTGGCCGCCGGCTACCAGGACTTCATCATCTGCGTGGAGATGTTTTTCGCCGCCATCGCCCTGCGCCATGCCTTCACCTACAAGGTGTACGCGGACAAGAGGCTCGATGCACAAGGTGGGAAATGTTCCAGTGTGTGTGGGGTGGCCAGACTGCGTGGGGATGTGTCCCTCCAGCAGCTGATACGACTCCCAACCTGAAGGCTCGGAAAAACATCGGGTCCCCTCCTCCGTGGCGTCTGAGCAGATCTCGTTACGCAACAGCTCTGCGGGGCAGGAACCTTGCCTGAATTGCATTGTTCCCTTTTCGCTTCCCTAGTGTGCCACCCACGAAAGCTCGTTGCAGACCTCAGGGCTGCAAGAAGTTGCATCCTTTCGGTAGAGTGGGTTTGTCCTTCTTCCTGTCTCCCCAAAGGGGAACTCCATTGCTCCGGGTTGTGCAACGAGCTGAAGGCAGGAGGGACAGGGCCTGAAACAGCCTCTGTTTTGACTCCAGGCTCGGGAGGATGAGGCCGTGCTTTGGCAATATGTTTGGCTGGGAGGAGGAGGATCTTCCTGTAACGACTGGGAAGGTGGAGCTGCTGCAAATCTTATTCTGGGGAAGAGGGAGGTAGAAGTTCTCTAGGAAATGGGGCTTCTCGTTTTTCCAAATAAAGGGGTTCCTTCCTGTCGCGGGCTTCTGTGGGGAGGCAGCAGCCCTCGAGCTGTGTTCCTGTAGCTAATCCCTCCATCCCAGCCTGCCCCAGAGGTTTTGGCAGGATGGTGGCCACGGCTGGGGGAGGTGAGATCTGTCTGCGTTGAAGGCATAAACTGCTGCCCAGTACTCTGGGGGGGTGACTTGGTGGTGGGTCTCGTTCAGTTCTTGTTATTTCCTCTCTCTCTTTCTCTCTGTCTCTCTCCCCTCCTCTTTTTATTTTTTCTCTCCTTTGCTTTGGCCACTCGTCCCCGATGCAGCCGTGCCGTCGTACGGGCCATACGGTAGGTGCAGCATGCTCGGTGTGTTCCTCCCAGTTCGGATTTAACTGGGATGCCCTTCTGTCCCGGCTCCCGGCCTGCCTGCTACCTCTTCTCTCCCTTCTCCCCCCCCTCCGTGTAGCTCTGTGTAACCCGACTGCCTCACGCAGCTGCTCTGGGGTTGCCTGGATCATAAATTGTAGAGCAGCCCCTCGGGCAGCGGCAATAACCCGGCGCTGGAGCGTTTGTGTTGGGCCTGGGTGAAACATCTCTCCCCAGAGAGCTGCACGGGGCTGGGCCGGGCTCTCTCACCGCAGCCTCCCTTCACTTTCACACTAATCAGCATGCCTCGGTCGTTTGGGGAGCTCGTCCTCGGGACTGAGCAGAGCCAGAGGCCCGTGCTGGAAAAAAAACAAAACAAAAAACCCTTTAGAGAAGCACCTCCCCAGCTGGCTGTCATTGCTGCACACCTGAGCCAGCAAAGTGGGGGTAAAATCCCATCCTCGTGGCGTGGCCTCCGTTTGGTGCCGAGCTGGATTCTCTTTAGGACTCGAGGAGGAGCGCTGCTGGTAAAAGCCTGACACCGTTTGCGTGGCGTTTCCTCAGCAGCTGCTCAGGGAGGTCCGTAAATAAATAAAGGAGTGCACGTACTGCCCTTACCTTCACGCTGCGGGGCGTGGGGGGGGGCAAAGCAGCAGCTCCCTTCCCTCACCCCTCCCCATCTCGCCCCGGCAGGTCGCTGCGCCCCCATGAAGAGCATCTCCAGCAGCCTGAAGGAGACCATGAACCCCCACGACATCGTCCAGGACGCCATCCACAACTTCTCCCCGGCCTACCAGCAGTACACCCAGCAGTCCACGCTGGAGCACGGCCCCCCCTGGCGCAACGGCGGCCACGTGGTCTCGCGCTCCCACAGCGGCTCAGGCGCCCGGGACAACGAGAAGACCCTCTTGCTGAGCTCCGACGATGAGTTCTAGGAGGGGGGGAAAAGGGCCGGTGCAGGCCGTCGTTTTTTTCCTCTTCTGTTGGTTTTTATTATTATTATTTTATTTTTTTTTTAATTTATTGAAGCAGAAACATGCGAGTCATATCACTTCCTAGAGAGTACAGGTCGCAGAAGTGGGCGATTCCCGTTTAGGTTTTGTGGGTACGGACGCGACGAGTGGTGTGGAGGTAGGGGAATGGCCAGGACTCTGCTCTCGAGCCCGTTCCTTCCAGCAGCAGGGTGACTGGAATTAATCGAAGCAAAGCTATGGGGCCGGGGGCTCTGGCCTCCCTCGCTCACCCAGCTTGGTGTGGCACATAACAGGCCAGAGTCTGGAGTCGTGGCCAAAAATGTTCTTCTTTTCCCTGGTACTAACGTCTCTGCCATCTTTGGGAAATGGGATTAGGGTGCGTTTGGGAAACGGGGTTAGGATAAGCATTCCCAAGGACCAGACTGGAGAATGGTCTTTCTGGTAGCCATTGCCTCAAATATTTGGGCAGGAACAGCTTCTCCTTCAGCACTGCCGGTGCGGCCCTGTACGTGAAGTGAGCAAAAGGGGAAAGGAACGGGGCTTTCTTCCTGTTCCACCCTCTCTGCATCCTCTCTGCTCCCTGCTGAAGCTCAGCAGGGCTGGAATTATGGTCTGGCGAGGGCAGGGTTTGCTGAGCACCGGGTTCCCATCTCCCCTGCATTCCTGTGGCACGATGCCTCCCCGGAGCACGATGCCTCCTGCTCGCAAACCTCCAGGACTGGAGGTGAGGAGGCGGTGGAAGTTTGCACAGCTCTGACCCTCTCATCCTTTTGGGGGGGAGGATCTTTTGTAAACACTAAGCTGTTCTTTCCTCTTGTTCCCTGCCCCTCATACAGACGTGGATTGCCCCAGCCAGCATCCACAGGGCGAGAACAGAAGCATTTGTCAGGTTTTGAGTTGCCCCCTAGATTTTTAGGGCAGCCAAAATAAAAATAATCCCTCCGCGGATCTGTCCGGGGACCAGAAAGGCTTAAAATTGTCTGGGGAGCGGGGGGAGCACACTCGAGTGCCATAGAGCAGATGCCCCTGCCCCTGAAAAGGAGAGGCTGCAGCAAGCTTCTGCTTTCTTCTTGCCTCTAGTTTCTCTGTTCTCCCCCCGCTTGCTGCCTGCCTTGCCATGAGAACACCTTCACCTTTCCACGCTGCCCCTTGTTGCCCTGCTGGAAGCGGGGTCTCACTGCCTGGAGTTTGCTTTCCCTCTTGTGTCACGATCTGTGCGTTTCCTCCTTCATTTCCTCGCGAGCAACCGTGAGCACGGGGCTCCTCTGTTCCTCGGCACTCCCCAGGGCTGTGCGCTCACATCCAGCATCCAGCTGTTGCTTCTCGTAAATCTCCCCGCTTCAACAGACACCCAAACGCTTTCTTTTTCCTCATCCCATAAGCGACCTGGACAGCAGGACTGAGGATGGGATAAGCTTTCCTTCCACCTCCTGCGGCTTCGAGGAATAGTCCTGTAGTTTGGGGTATTTCTTTTCACCTTCTTTCAGAAAATCGGGGTGTGGGAGGCGATCCCTCCCCCCTGGCACTGTACCTGCAGGTCTTGCTGACACCCCGGGGTCTGTTGCACGGGGTGGCTGAGATCTGAAATCTCTGGAGCTCGAGGCTGAGCCGGGTTTGGGGATACGCTTTCTGAACTTTATTTTGAAATGGATGCTGATCTGGTGCATAGGATCTGGATATTCTCCAAGCTTCCTCTCCCTAGCGGTTTAAAGCCCAGCCCTTCTGCACTGGCTGCCTTCGGAGAAGCCTGGTGAAGAGAATTAGCATTTTAGAGATATTTTTAACACTACACGAGATCGTTTCTGAGCTTCCTGCGCTCCCTTGCAACAGGCAGGTGTCAGAAGGAGGATTGGCTCTGAAGCCTCGCCGGCTCGGAGGAACAAATACCTGAATTTTGAAGCCCCAGAGCTGCTCACAGCGGCCCTGCCGAACCCCTCAGCTCCAGGAGTAAGACCCTTGGAGCTGCCCCCCTCCCCTGCTCCCCATCTCTGCCCTTCCTTTTTGTTTACCATGTACCACGCCCGTGGGGTTTGTTTATTATTTTTCCAGGTAGAGTAGTTCTTTGTATATAAACGACTGGAAAAAAAGAAAAAAAAAAGAAAAAAAAAAAGAAAGAATTGTATGATAAATAAGACAGAGCCACCTAGTTTTGTACCTCTCGTGTTTAACTGATGTGAGCTCAGCGACAAGCCGCTCTCTCTATTTTGGTCTTTGTGACGTTATACTCCGCAGAAATGAGCAAATATGATGACAAATAAAAAATATAGAGATAATATAGATTGTACATAAGCTGCCTCTGCGTGGTGGTGTCGGCGTGCCTGACTGCTCTGAGCCAATTTAACATTTTTGGGACCGAGATTTTTCCGGTCTTGTCCCCAGAGCGCCCAGCTCCTGGTCAATGGGAAAGGGAAACTCTCTGATTTTGCTGATTTGAAGAGGGACGATGCATCCGAGAGAGAAAAGCATCTCCAAACCTCCAGCAGCGAACCTGCAAAGCCTTGTACACCAGGATTTAGCTACGGAAGAAGAGGAGGAGCAACACCCAAGAGTATAAAGTAGCATTGGTTTGGGAGTCATGAGCTGTGCCCCATCCCAAATCTTTTTGGGGCATAGTTTCTTGAACGCGTCCTTTAGCAAAGGTAAGGATCTCAGAGCCACAGCTGGAGCCTGAGGTTCAGGAATGACCAAACACACTCATTTTGGAAAAAAAAAAAAAACAAAACAAACTTGCTTTATTTGTAAAGTCTACAAAATACAGAGGAGTCGGGTAGGACACATACTGTAAGTCAGAAAATAAATAAGTATTTTTTATTTTTTGCTCTATATAAGTATAAGATAAAATGTGATTTGCATATATAAAATATAAAGTACGGCTCTGTACCAACATCCTGGCTGTGCCGAGCGGCGGAATGGCAAAGAGGACGTGAAAAATAACTTACGGTCGTGCAATAAATAAACCCAAGAGGAGTCGGGGACGAGCGGGGGGGACTCTATAACCACCGTGCCCTCCCCCGCGAGCGGTGGGCACCTCGTTTTGGGGAGGGATGGAGGCTGCAGCCAAGCGGCTGGTGGCGTGGCGATACCGGGGCAGAAAGGGGCGATCACAGGGGGTGGCAAAGGTGCCCGCCTCCCCGCTGCTCATCAAACCCAGCTCTGCTCCGGCTTTGAAGCCTGCTGAAGAGCCCTTTGGCCCCAAGCTGGAGGAAAAACCCCAAGGGAGGTGTGCCTGCTGCCGGCGGGGCGGCTCCCAGGAGCAGGGATGCTCTGTGCCCTGGCTCCCCACCTCCACCTCTCCCTGCGAGTCTCGCAGCCTCGATTCCTGCTCCCGGCGGCCAGGACGGCCTCTCCGTGTGCTTTATGGCCCACGGGGCGCAGGGGAGCGCGCGCTGGGCTTGGCGTGGCCATCCGAGCTGGCCTGCGCCGAGCCAAACAGCGTTTTTATCGCCGCTCCAGCTGCCTCCGCTTCCTTCCTGCCCATGCTGCTGCCTTTTTGGAGGCGCCCGGCCGGGCCCAGCGTCCCGCGGGCAGGAAGAGGCGTGAAGGATGTGCGTGGTGGGGACAGAAAACAGCGCCTCTGCTTCTCCCCTGCGCGGCCAACAGCCTCGGAGCCCCTCGTGTCCCCTGCCCCAAGGACCCCTCCCCGCCGTCCCCATCGCCTCCAGGCTCCCCACCCACACCCAGGCACCAACCTGCAGCCACTTTCTCTCCCCCTCTGACCTGCCACCTTCCCTCGCCACCTCCATCCCGGCTCACGGGGCCGATCCCGGCCCTTCCCATCTTTTTTTTTCCATCTGCCCATCGCCGCCAAACTCTCTCTCTCTTTCTCTCTCCCCATTTCCCTCCCCGGCACGTGCTCCTGGGAGCGCAATTCCCGTGCGCTCAGCTCTCCCGCTTCCTCCCCCCCTCCCAAAAAAAAAATAAAAAAGGGGGCATTTTCCTGCCAGCTTGGAGCCTGTGGGACGTTCCCCTGCCTCCAGCCACCTGGGCTCATCCCCTCCTGCACGCACGCAGCGGGGAGAGGGGTGCCGAGACTGGGGGGGCTGCAGCAGGGGGACTGGCACTGCGGGGTGCCGCCAGGTTTCGGGAGCCACCGCAGCCTCCACGGGGGTCCCCCATGGGGTCCTGCCCACCCCAGCACACGCGTGGTGGCAGCTCCCCATCCTCAGGAGAGCTGCCCCAGCAAGAGAGGGAGGATTTTGGGGCCATGTCCGAGCAGAGGAGAGGTCAGGGAGGGCTTAGAGGCAACCCTCGAGTCGATCCGTGGGGGAAGGCACCCCGGGGGCCACGGAGAGGGGTCCGTGCCCGGCCGGGGGGGACGGGGGGGGGAGGCCGGCACTAGGAGTAGGCGGCCTGGTTGGTGCCGGACTTGACGATGGTGATGACGCTGGCGGTGGCCACCTTGGCGGGGGGCCCGTGGGCGGCCACGGTGCGGGCGAAGCCCTGCAGGGCCTCGTACTTGCCTCGCAGGGTGTCGAGCTCCAGGCGCATGGCGGCGTTCTCCCGGGCCAGCTTGTCCACCTCCCACTCCAGCTCCATCTTCTGCTTCTGCAGCTCTTCCTTCTGGCAGACGCGCTTCACCCGGCAGCTGGCGGCGTAGCCCCGGTTCTTCAGCGTCCGCCGCCGCTGCTTCAGCCGCGCCACCTCCTCCTTGGAGAGGCCCCGCAGGTGGTGGTTGAGCTCCCGCACCGACAGCCCCATCAGCTCCTCGTCCGACAGCAGCGGCGTGTTCTCCCCCAGCTCCCGCTTCACCTGGGGGGAAAGGGGCGGCCGCGTCAGACCCCCCACCCCGATAACGCACCCACCCCGAAACCCCCTCCCCGGTCTTCCCCTCTCGCCGCTCACCTTCAGCGCCTTGCTGGAGAGCCCGTCCGCAGCCATGGTCGCCCCGTGCCAGCCCTGCCAACAGCCGAGAGGAGACCCGGTTAGGCCCCTGGGGGTGACACCGAGCCCCCCCGTCCCACACCCAGCCATAAAACCTCCCCGTCCCATATGGAAAGGCCATATTAAGGCCAACAACAGCGGGTCCCTGTCCCTGCTTTGCCCCCATCCCCTTTTGCCCCACCGCAGGGGTGCCGTGCCGTGGGGACCCCCGCGCACCCCAATCTTGCCCCGGGGGGGCCGGGCCTCCTCCTGGGGAGGGCAGCGGGGCCGAGCTCGGCCCCATACCTGTCGGGGAAGCAGAAGCGGGGGCACTGGGCTGGGTACGAGTGGGGTCACCCCACGGGGAAGGGGGGCGAAGGGTGGGGGCCGCGGCCACGTCGAGCCAGCGTCTCCCCGGGGTTCAGCAGCGACGGGGGGGGGCACCCAAAAGCCACCCGCACTCTGCCCCCCCCTTTAAAAAAAAAAAAATATATTTTTTTTTTGTTGAATATCCCCCCAGCCCTACAAAAGGAGGGCGCTGCCTGCCCCGAGCGGCCTTCCCCTACCTCGCCCCCCCCCCAAAACGCCGAGGAAGCCGCGGAGGGGCCCGGAGGAAGGCGAGGGGCTGGAGGGGCAGGGGGCGGCTGATGCAATCGGGGCCGGGCAGGGCGAGCAGCGGGGGCCGGGAGGGACCCGAGGACGCCCGGCGGGGCTCGGCCGCCTCCCCCCTGACCGCGGCCGGTCGGTCGGTAGCGAGCCCCCCCCCCCCCCCGGCTCCCCGTGCTTACCGGGAGGAGGCCGCGCTCGTCCCCGGGCGGGGCGCGCCGCGAGCTGCCCGCGATTACTCACCCGCGGATTCCTTTCATTCATAAAAACACAGTCATGCGCTGACGTCACCCCCCTTAGCCACGCCCCTTTCCCTTCACAAACATGGCGCCCGCCCCTCCCTCTTCTTTCCTTTCCCCTCGCCCCGCCCTTCTTCCCCCGCCCCATTGGCTCCTCCCCCTCGCCCCGCGCCGCCCATTGGTTGGAAGGAGGGGAGGGGCGGCGCTGATTGGTTCTCCCCGCTCGGGGCGCCGCTCCGCTGTGGCGCCGCCATGCAGTTCCTGGGCCGGTTGGTCAGCACCCTGAGCGGGGTGGCCCAGGCGCTGGGCAGCCCGCACCGCGTCAGGGAGGTGCCCGCCGCCGAGTACGGGCCCGGCCGCTGCCCCCTCGGCCAGGACGGCCGGCTGCGCCTCTACGGGCCCGGGCCCGGCCGCTCGTGGGACTGCGTGCTGCTCTGCCCGCACAGCCCGCAGCTCGCACTGAGGTACGCGCCCCAAAACGGACCCCAAAGGGGGAACCGGCCCCAAACGGCTCCAGAGCCTAAAATGGAGACGGGTCCCAAAAGGGTGCCAGGCCCTAAAATGGCTCCAGGCCCTAAAATGGAGCTGGGCCCACAAAAGGGGGCCAGGCCCGAAAGTGGTTGCAGACCCCAAAAGGGAAGCGGGCCCTAAAATGGAACTGGGACCCAAAATGGAGCCAGGCCCCAAAATGGTCCTGGCCCCCTGAAAAGGAACCAGGCCCTAAAATGGCTCTGAGCCCCAAAAAGGGAGCCGGGCCCCCAAATGGCTCTAGACCCCAAAAGGGAACTTGGCCCTAAAATGGTCCTGGGCCCCAAAAGGGAGCCTGGCCCTAAAATGGCTCCAGACCCTAAAATGGAGCTGGGCCCCTAAAAGGGAGCCAGGCCCCCAAATGGCTCCAGACCATAAAATGGAGCCAGGTCCCAAAATGACTCCAGACCCCGAAATGGTCCTGGGCCCCAAAATGGCTCCAGGACCTCAAAAGGGAGCCAGGCCCTAAAATGGAACTGGGCCCCCACAATGACTCCAGGGCCCCAAAAGGGCACCAGGCCTCCAGAATGGCCCTGGGCCCCAAAATGGAACTGGGCCTCTAAAAGGGAGCTGGGCCCCAAAAGGGAACCAGGCCCCAAAAGGGAGCTGTGCCCCAAAAGGGAACCAGGTCCCAAAATGGCCCTTGGTCCCAAAATGGAACTGGGTCCCCAAAAGGGAACTGGGCCCCAAAACGGTCCTGGCCCCCAAAAGGGAACTGGGGCTCAAAATGGCTCCAGGGCCCCAAAAGGGAACTGGACCCCAGAATGGTCCTGGGCCCCAAAAGGGAGCCAGACCTTAAAATGGAACTGGGCTCCCAAAATGGAGCCAGACCCCAAAATGGCCCATGGCCCCAGAATAGAACTGGGCCCCCAGAAGGGAATGGGACCCCAAAATGGCTCTGGGCCCCCAAAAGGGAGCCATACCCCAAAAGGGAACCAGGCCCTAAAATGGCCCCGGACCCCAAAAGGGAACCTGGGCCCCAAAACAGCTCCAGGCCCCAAAATAGTCCTGGCCCCCAGAATGGAGCTGGATCCCCAAAAGGGAACCAGGCCCTAAAATGGCTCTGGGCCCCCAAAAAGGGAACCGGGCCCCCAAATGGCTCCAGACCCCAAAAGGGAGCCGGACCTCAAAATGGCTCAAGACCCCAAAAGAGAACCAAGCCCAAAATGGCCCTGGACCCCAAAAGGGAACCGGGCCCTAAAATATCTCTGTGCCCCCAAACGGTCCCCAGGGGCTGCGTGTGGGGAGCGTTTGGGGCTGCAACCCATAGTTTTGGGGTCTCTCTCCCCTGCGCAGGCTGTTCCAGCTGGACGACGAGGCGGAGGCCCTGCAGCTCTTCCAGCACTACGCCGGGCACCTGCGGCCCTTCTACGAGAGCTCCCCGGAGCCGCTGACCCCGGAGCAACTCCAGCAGCTCTGCGACTGCCTGCGCGGCCACCCCGGCTGGTCCCCGGCGCACGTGGCGGTGGAGCTCGGCCTCCTCGAGGCGTTTCGGCACAACGGGGTGCTGGGGTGAGGCCCTGAGGGCGAGCCTGGGGGGTTTTGCTACTTTGGGATCGGCTTTCGGGGTGGTTGTGACCTCTTTTCCTCCCTCGCAGCTGCGTGAACAACCCCGATGCAGGTGAGGATGGCTGCACCCCGCTGCACCTGGCGTGCCGTAAGGGCGACGTGCCCTGCCTGCTGGAGCTGCTCGAGTGCCGCGCGCGGGTGGACGTCGCCGACCGCCGCGGGGAGACGGTTTTCCACTACGCCGTGCGAGGCCACAACCCCCAGGTCGTCGAGGTGGGAGCGGGACCGGGACGATCGATCAATTGGGGATGGTTTAGGCTTTTGTATTAAAAACGTATCCTCTTCCCGCATTCCTTCTGGTTTTGGTGACTTATCTTGCTGAAGAAATACTTTCAGTTCTGAGCAGCCTTCTGTTTGTTTCTCTTTCTCTTTTGATTCCTCTCTAAACCAAAGAAAACAAACTGAATTCCTGCTTTTCTCGCATGCCCCAGGGCTTTTAGGGTTTCCACGCCTGGGTGGGGTGGGGAGAAAATCAGGCAAAAAACCTTGACTCTGTGCCCTCCTTCTGACGGGGAGAAAACACAGGAGTGCTTCAGATGTCAAAGAGGACGGACCGTAGCATCGCGAGGAGCCCTGTCTCGTTCTGCCTTTGATTTATTTATTGCTTCCTTTTCCCAGATCCTGGGCAGAACCCCGACTGTTGTCCTGGACCACCTGAGCCACGAAGGGCTGACCCCGCTGCACCTCGCCTGTCAGCTGGGCAAAGAGGACATGGTTCGGTCCCTGCTGAAATGCCAGGCCAGCTGCGGCGTCGTGGGGACGCTGGGCTACCCCATCCACACAGCCCTCAAGTACTCCCACAAGGGGTAAGGAACTACCCGGGCTTTTCCTCGAGTTTGGGGCCCTGGCTGCTCGCTTTGGGTTGTCCCAGACCGGACGATCTGCTGAGGGCATCACCGAGCTGGCAGAAGAGCAGCGGGGTGCTGGTGTGGAAGAAAGAGACCCGTTCAGAAAAAAAGGTTTTCCCTGAATTTATCTCCAGGTATTACTTTGTAGGATATAATGAGGGAGGCACACACAAAAGAAAAGGAAAAAAAAATAGAGTTTGTGCAATACTTTCTCAGGATGAGCTGCGAGGAGGTGACTTAAATGCTCTTATTAAGTGCTGTACCTCTGCCTTCCTGTCTTTGGCTGCTTTGATCCTACTAAGCTTTCATTCCAAAGCGTTGTTATTTCCGTCTCCCGTGGGCAAAGGTACTCCTGACCCTTAATTAACACACTCTGAATCAAGAGACGCAATATTTACTTCCTGTTCTCTTTTTTTTTTTTTTTCAGGGAGAAGTTAGTTTCTCTTTGTGCTTTCTAATGCTTATTTTCGTAGCGTCCAAGCCCTGCAGAAAGGGCCCTCAACAACGACCGCTGCCAGCTGCTCCACGATTTGGGATTGGGAAGGGATCATCCTGCTGTAGGGTTTCCTGAAAGGCTCTGTGCTTGGGCTGGGTGTCTGGCATCTCAATTCCTCATCTCGTTGCCTTCACCAGGTGTGCCCAGGCCATCCTGGAGGTGGATGCCAGCCAGGTCCGCTCCAGGGACCCGCGCCACAACGCCACCCCGCTGCACTGGGCGAAGAAGGCAGAGGTAAATAGAGGCTGACCTGTGGCTGTTGAGCTGATTGAAGCCGTTTGGTTCTCTCTGCTCTCCTCTGACCGGTGCTGTTTGCTGCAGGGAGCCTTCAGATACAAAAAAAAATATCTAATAATAATCCCAAACTTGGCACGCTTGTCCCAGTAATTCAGCCCTTGTTGTGAAACTGCCAGCTTGTCCCTTTTCCCTGCTTATTGTGAAACTGCACCACTGGTGCTGGAGCACAATTACCCCTGGGGGGAGCTCTCTTCTCATCATCTCCCAGACCGGTGCATTAAACCACGAGGGGAGCGTGAGGTAGGTGCAGGGTCATGGTACGCAGGTTAGAGGTACCCAGATGAGAGGTGTGATAAGCTGGAGCACCTGTGAGGCGTTTGTTTTAAGCAGAGAACATTGAACGTTTCAGTGGAAGGACCATGAAAGTTTGTCTTACAAGGAGGAGAAAGTTAAAAAAAAAAAAAAAAGCAAATAAGCAAATTTCTTCCCTCCAGTCTGCAAGGATTCTGGCCTGCGTAGGGACTGTGTTTCTCCGTTGCCACCAGTCAGTTGTTACGTTTGCATCTAAGCCCCAAAACATCCAGAAGCTGCAGCCAGATTGCAAAACCATCAAATAATTTTGAGGTAGAAGGTAGAGAAACCCCATGTCCAGCACCTGGGATGCTGCAGCTGGCTCCTGCCATGCCCAGGCGAAGGCTTGCTCCTCTCCATGTGCTTGCCTGGCTCGTGTGAGCGCCCAGGCAGTTGTCCTCACGATTTCTTTCTCTTTCCTTGACCTGGAACACGCACGCTTGGGCTCAGATGACGCAGCTGCTGCTGAAGTACGGCTCCGAGGTGAACGTGAGCAGCCGGACGGCCGACATGGCCCTGCACATCGCCGTCAGGAGGGGCCGCTTTGACTGCGCCATGGTGCTGCTGACGCACGGGGCCAACACCAACGCCAGGGGCCAGGATGGCAACACGCCGCTGCACCTGGCCATGAAGGTGAGGTCGTGGAGCAATCCTCGTGGGCGCTTTGGCTGAGGGAAAGAGGAGAGGGAGGGAACGAGAGATGTGGCTGAGGGGAGCACAGCTTTTGACTGAGCTTTCCCTTGTCTCCTAGCACGACCGCCTGGATATGATCAAAGCAATCGTGGTCTTCGGAGGAGATGTGGAGATCCCCAATGATTTCGGGGAGACGCCGGGGCTGTTGGCAGCCCGGAGCAGCAAAGGTGAGGGCGGGCACACCAGAAACCAGCATAACTCCCCTTATTGGCTAAAACAAACCACCACATCTCCCCTTGTTGGCTAAAACCTGCATCTTGGAGAGGTGAAAACCCACCACGTGTAGGCAGTGCTTCTCCAAAACGCTTTCCCAGCTTCTAGTT